AACAAATTTGTTCCGTGTGAAAAGCTTTTAACTAAGAATGCTTTATTCCCACAGTCTTCTGTGGGCTTTGTTTCTGGGTCATGCAGCTGCACCATGCCTTGGCATACCCCCGGCTCAGTGTTTTGTAGGCTGTTTTCCATTATGTCTATTCAGGATAGGATACAGTTAGAACTTCATTTGGAGATTCTGGAGCATGAGGTTGGCAGGATTTGGACCTACCTCAACAGATAACACTTAGTGGTAATAATGCACTATTACAGCAACTATATTGTCTTATACACTTAAAATGGAAAATATTCTTTGATATGACTGAATGATTGCAACCGTCTGACCTTTTCTCACTTCCACAAACTCTTTACTCCCAGCAATAGACATCAGGTACCACTGTACATTTCTATAAAAAAATAGATTTTTTTTTTTAAATTGTTACTACTTTTTGTTGTCACAGGAAAGAGTTTACTGATAACTTTTCTTTCTCAGGAAAAGAACCAGATAGTTATGAGTTTATTTAACATATTAAATGATTTTATGTACTTTTATCTTCCCTTTACTAACTACTTTATTGAGTAATGCAGTGAGGTAGGATGTACTTAGGCTCAGTGATGAGAGAGTCGTCAGAAATCTTGAGTCTTCTTTCCAGGACTCAGCTCACACTCTGAGCTTTAGGCTGCTCTGTTTAATCCCTCATGTGTCAATCCATAAGCAGTTGCTGCTCATCAACTGCAGTAAAAAATTCCATCAATCACACTCCTAGAAATGGCCAGAGAGAGGTCAGACAAGCAGTGTTATTATGATAGAGTTACAATTATTATGCATATCATACTTTATGTATTCTACCACTTCATCAATTCTTGCAGCCATGGCCAGAGAATGAGCAGAGGTTTTCGCTGAGCTGTCTGCAATAATGTAGTGTATTTTTCCGGAGTGATGACAGCTAATTTAAAACTCAACCTTAACTAGATAAGGTTATTCCTTTTGGTATGAATTACTCTGGTTTTGCTAGCATTGCACATTTTCCAGGCCTGGTGATCATACTGCTCTGAAGACTTTTGGATAACACCCCTTACTGTCTTCAAATTGTTCTTTGAATGATGTGATTCACATTTGTCACATCAGGTTTATTCTCATTTTATCTAGTTCAAGCACTCAGGTTATGAGAAATGAAAAAAGGCAGTTGTATGTACTTAGTTGCAGAGCTTTTTGGTCCCGTTTTAAGTGGAGCATCATGAGTTTATCTGTTGATGTGCTATGGGACAGGTGACAACACTGGTGGTCCCCATGCTCAGGGCATGGACTGTGGAGATCTTGGCTCCCCTGGGAGAACATTCCTTACACTGCCTTGATAATGATAATGATCTAGCCCAGAAGTCTTTGCCTACTCTACAGGGGAGACTTCACATTCAAAGAGGTCTCTCATACGTAAAGGGAAAGAAGTAATTCATAATACTTTATCTCAGACTGCTGAGGAGTGTTTTGGCTTCACCTTTAAATTACGCAGTAAGACTGCAACTCCATGATTGTGGAGAGCTGGAGCAGAGTCAGTTGAAGAGAAATTAAATTGTTGGTAATGTACTGTGTTGCTAAGGGCATGCTTTGCTATTAGGTTTGAGGAAATCTCAGTTGAGAATTAATCTTCAAATTGATCTTCATAATAATACTGTTTTCACATGTGGATGCCTGGGCACAAAGACTTGCTGCAGTCTTGAAGCAAATGTAGGACATTGAGAAGGTTTCTTACAATCTACAGCTTAAGCCATAGGAGAGCTTTCAGAGATGAATGTGGCTTCTTCTGTGCTATGTGTGTGATGATATTTTATTAAACACTGAGACAACAATCTGTCAAACTAAGCAATCAAACTGTGCAAAGAAAAAGTAACCATATGGTTAGAAACTTGTTTGCTGCATTGAATTACCTCACATAAATATAACCAGGAAAAGAAAAAATAATGAGGCCATTATTACAACTAAACTGCAAACATAAAACAGTTGCTGCCCTAAGTTTTTAAGATGTCTGGGTTCTGCTGGAACTGATTATTCATCCATGAGGTGAAGCCTCTGAAATTGAAGAGAAAGGAGAAAGGGGCATTGATGAGAGCCTCCTTGGTATGTACCCAAGGGAGTGTATGATTCACACCCAAGTCCTAGGTTTGAATATATGATATCTAATCAGGCTAACTGTATAAACATATCAAGAAATAGTATTAGTTAATTCCTGCAACTCCCTAGCCTCAGATTCAGCTAGCACCTCTTGTTTAGAAAGATAGAGTGATCTATTTTAAATACTTCCAAGTGATGAAGAATCTGCCACGTCTTGTCTTCTGTGCTTTTGATTAGAAGGAGGACAAAATAAAAAAAGAGTGACAACGAAAGCCACTGTCAGTGCTTAGACTTGCAGAAAATTTTTGAGTTTGTTCCATTTTAATTTAGAGGTAATTATGCAAAATCCGTTGGAGTTATCCTGCTGTGATCATCAGCAAAAGGATCACTACACGTTTCTCCCTTAATTTTTCTGTTATTATTGTGTCTAATTTATAGAAGAGGTCTCTCTGTGCCATTCTACAGCTAGTTGATATTACTGACTACGCGGAGTGAATTAAAATTATGTATTTGGTTGTACTGTTAAATTTGGGGAAATAGATTTTGTTCTACGATGCATCCAGGTTACCTGAGAATGTGTTCTGGCAGTTTATTTTAGCAAAGAAGTAATTGAATTCCCCTAGAGAGTGTTAGCCTGGGAATTGTATCAGCCATGCTAAATCGGTTGAATTATTGAGGCTAGGCATTGCATTAGTAATGCTTGTGCACTACAGACCTTCCAAGGGAAATGATATTGCTTTTCAGCTTGATATTCCAAACATAGGTTTATCTGGGGATACTTAAATACCCTTCTGTGACTAAACACCTGCGCCTGAGCAAGCAGTTGTAAACCTGAGGTTTAAGCCCAATACTGATAGTTCATGGTCTGATACTTTAAAGGTGTCATCACAGTTAGTAGTGACCATCTTCCATGTCTAAAGTTGCAAAAATCACTCTGAAGTCTGCACAAATGACACCATAAAAAAAATGAACTGGAGCAAAGCTGTTTTCAAAATAGCAATTCTGATGTGATGTGTTGCTCTTCTTTATTGCTAATTTAAAATGCTGCAGCCGGGTTTCAGGAGTGAATCAAGTGAGCACTGATGAAGTAAAACCAGAGATTCTTTAACCTAAATTTACTGCACTCCTATGATTGATATTGTGAACAGCAAAATAGCTCCCAGACACAAACTACATTCTATAATATAAATGCCTCTGAAAGCTTTGACATCCAGTCAGTGAGAAAGAGTAAGACAAATCATCCTTATATTAACAGGGTTAAATTTCCAGATTAATGGAAGAGGGATTTACAGTGCGGTGCTGTGGAGCATATTTACATCCTGAAGACAGTGGGGCAGTACTTCACAGTAGTTTCTTAAAGACATGCACAATCCTAGCAGCACTGTCAACCCTTTTCAGATAAGCAGATTATGAGACATTCTACATTGACCAAAATGTGCTTATTTTTAACTTCAGGATAATTTCTGTGGAAGTCAGACTTAGCTTAACCTTAAGTTAAACCTAGTTTACCAAGTTTGCTAAGCTTTAGAGTTACTTGGTCTCCTGGCTTTTGTTTTTAATGGAAGTGGCATTGACCTTAAGCCATTTAAACCATGGCTAGCACAGAAGAGTGGGGTCAAAGAGGAGGAAGGAGATGCCAAGATTTGGCTTTCAGCTCTGTAGAGATTTGGAAGAGTGAGGAGTGCTGGGAGCATGTGCAAGAGCCAACTTTGGGCTGTTGAACTCTGTTTTGTAAGTGTCATCTGAAAGATGGGATAGGATTGTGGTTTGGAGGGACTGGCCAGTGCTTTTCACTCAGAAGAATACTATTTTTGTCACTGGCTCAAGGCAACATTACCTTATGATGCTTCTGTCCTTACCTGTAGGAACCAGAGCCAACATGTTTGCCCACAGTCACCCATAGAGTTGAATTTTGGCCAAGCTACCAAAATTGAGTCCTGCATAAATCTCTCGATCCAAGAATCTTGGGGGTTTTTTGTTTTGTTTTGTTTTGTTTTTCCTGATAGTCATTTGAGGTTAACTTCACCCTCATCTGTGTTACATATTGATGTTCTGATGTAAAAAGGCCCTTGTTCCTTTGCAGCAGGTAGATACCTCATTTTGAAAAACACAATGAGGTCAGTGGTTAAACACTTTAAATTAACAGGATTATAAGGTAATGGGGAATTTAAATATATGAAAATTGGTGAGTTACTAAGCTGTTCTTAACAATTGAGGGCTCAGTCCTGTTCTCATTCCAGTCAGTGAAAATGGTAGTATTAAATTATGTGAATTAATCTCAGAGCCACTGGCAAAGCTCTTGTCTTGAATTCATGAGGGAGTCAGTGCACCGTACCCCAAAGTGTCAGCTCTGAACTTACAGTCCTGTAGAAACACCACACACATTCCTCATGGAAACCCTTTAGTACCTGCAAGACACTTCCAAAGCAGCTACAAACATTGCTTGCACAGGATGCTTCTTGCTGAGCATTAAGATTATATATTCAGTTGAATCAGGATGAATTTATGATTGAGTTGCAAATCAGTGCTCAAGGTTATGACCCCCCAACTTCCTTGTGCAGGTAAGTTCTAAGCTGCCCCACACTTGGTGCACAGAATGGTTGTTTACAGCAAAAATGTGCTCACTATATAAATTCATTCCCATTCTGTAAATTCAGAAACTTAACTATTGCACATGAACTTTTTTTGTGTGTGTGTGTAGGCAGGACCCTAATTACATTTTAAATCACAAATTGTCTAGAATAAAAAATTGACATTGTGGTTGTAGGAGATTGTTGAACTAATTGTCATTAACTGGTTTACACTAATTAGTCATAATCAAGAGGATGAAAGAAAACCTTCTCATAGTGAAACTGCTAAATTGATCGATATGCTTAATCATCTCTACCCTTTTTTCCAAACAGGCAGGAGAAAAACATTATCACCCAACCTGCGCACGATGTGTCAGGTGCAATCAGATGTTTGCAGAAGGAGAAGAAATGTATCTTCAAGGTAAAAACAAACAAACAAAAAATAAAATAGTTACACTGGACCCCTTACCCACACCTGCTAGCATGACTGAGCTGTTTTGCACTTATTCTCACTTCATAACTACCAAAGAAAGCAAAGAGTGCAATATGTATGCTAAGGAAAAGCAAAGGCAAACCCTTGTTGACTCTTACCTATTACTTTTTTCTCAGTTCAAATCCAGTAGCAAGTGTGAATCATAGAAAGAATGATCCGGTTGAAAGTTAACACACATGGATAAGAGCAGGTTTCCTAAAGCTGCTGTTGCCACCCAAAGAGCAGTTCTGTACTCATTGCCCGCTTGGGTAGGAAGAGAAAATCCGAAGGTCCTTACCTGAGTTCCCCTCAGACCTCAGAGGGTGGAAAAGAGGTGGAAAAGTGCCCTCAGAGGGTGGAGAGGAGGATGCCATGGCGCTGAAGCCCTTGCCACACAATGTGCCTGTACCTTATGCAGCCATAAGGTTGCCCAGGAGAAATGCTATGTTTCTTGTCAGGGACTTTCAGGGGTAATAGTGAAGGACTTGCACAATAAAGTATGCAAGGGAAAAAAGTGTTATTTAGAATAGATATGAGCTAAAATCCTTCATATGTAGCAACTGTACTAACTTGATCAAAGAAAACTGACTACACAGTTAAATACAGGGTCAAACACCAGAGAAGATGAAGGCTTTTGCATATGTCTTTGACTGGCATTATCTTTTCAAAGGAAAATGGAAAAGAGAAACTCGGTAGGATGTGGGAACTGCAAGGCTGGGGTATTATCCTAAAATAACATACTTGCCCAGATCTGTATTAACAACTTCACAATTGTCCACAGTTTTCTAGAAGTGTACTTTGAAATCTTTCCTTAAGCTGGAAAAGTTAGACTTTATTTAAAACACAACAGTGGTCTCAGTAAGATCTATTTATAATTCACTATGTTATTAAAAATGACAATTCTGTTGCCACTTTGGTTTGCAACAAGAACTAGCTCATTAAAGGACATAATGATCCTTGTTTGTGCTCATGGATTCTCCCTCAGGAGCCAGAAAATGCTGTGGCTCTCCCAATTGCAAAGCAGTTTAGCAGTACTAAAATCCCATGCCAAATCAATGCTTTAAGAAAGTATATCAAACTACAAATTTGTTTCTAGATTTCAAACCGTTTGAAACCCATTTGCAAGTCAATCTTCTTTTTAAGTTCAGTTTGTTACAGGGGAGGATATTTGTTAAGTTTTGTGCTGATTATTAGTTCAAATAACCACAAAGTATGCTTGGGTCCTAATAATTAGGACCCATCTTACTCTATTTTCTGGTGCATGAAATGTTCCTGCTAGCTTACTATCATACACTTTTTGCCTCACATAAAGAGCAGTTTCCATTAGAAACTGATGCTAATGCCATGAAAGATATATGATTAGTTATTTGGACTGCCTTACCTGATGTGTTAGATAATAAAAAAAGTCAGAGTTTTATAACTTGTTCTTCATCCTCTTAATAAACTACTGTAAAATTCCTTCAGGTGTTGCATGTTCCTTAGCAGAAAGTGTCAGTGGTTATCCAACAGATGACTTTTGGGTGAAAGGACTCTTTCTCTTCTGTGTGACAAAGTTTCCCAGCCAGTGTTGTTTCACTACAAACAGGAGTAATTTTATTAAAAAAACAAACAAAAAAAGAAAAAAGATTAGCTAAATACTTATTAAATCCATTGGAAAGATTTGCATCAGTTTATGGGAAATACGGGGCAAGTTCAGACCCGCTGCAACTGGAAGACAACTTAGCATTAAATTTAAAGGTGTTTTAAATATACTTCTTAGTGGTTCAGTACCAAAAAACTTCACTAACTTCAGTAAACATAATTTATCTGGTACTTATACTCTTATACTGCAAGAGTCTGAGTTCATCTAGGTTATTTTTGTGAAATAAATTCTAATTATCTCCATCTGTCTTCTGGGAAATAGGCTTTCTGTTGCTATCTTGTTTCCAAAATCCACTAGTTAGAAAACTATCAAACTGCTGTGAAAACAAAGCATTTCCAATAACTTTGGTGCTCTCCACCCAGTATAAACATTAAATATTTATTACACAAAAGTTCTCAATTTCCCATTTAGTCAGGCAGAATTTGCAGTGCATTCCCATTATTTAACTGTTCTGAGCTTTAGTTTGTGGCTTGTCTGAACTGACTGGCATAAAGATAAAGGTTCCTTCTTACTATTAAAATTTACAAATAATTATTTTATTTTATATCATTCTACACATTCTGCTTCCACTGAACACTTAAGTTTTGAACACTCTCTTCAGCTTCTTAAAATACGTTTTATCCTTACTGACCACTGCAAAACTATTAAGTTTCTATCTGACACTCAAAGTTTACTTATATCTCTTCATAATCCTCTTACATGCAATACTTACATTCAATAGAGAATTGGATCATTCTCCATTTCCTGCTTCCTGCAGGATGGATATGGCCCTGAACTTGTTCCTTAGTATTTAATTAACGAGTGACAAACATATAGAAGTGCAAGATCAGAACAGTGGCGGGGTCAGAAAGACAGACTGGATTTTCAGCTATTCATATTCAGCTATTCATGCTGCAATGCTATTCCATCCCATCACAATGTGCTACTTTGTATGACCTGGGCCAAACTATTACAAGAATATGGATAATAAGAGTGCAGAAAATTCTAGCTATATATAAGGGAAAAAACTACCATGAGAGTGAAGCAGGTTGCCCAGAGATGCTGTGGGATCTCCATCCTTGGAGATATGCAGAACCCAGCTGGACACAGCCCTTCCTGCTGCAATGGAACCTGCCCTGAGCAGGAGGTTGGACTGGAAGAACTCCAGAGATCCCATATCACACTTTTTAGGACTCAGGTTTTGATGTTGATCTCCCATATTGAAACATACATAGCTTTCTGAAGTGCACCTTATCTTTTAAATGTATGTGATCAGGCTTACTGGTATTGAGAGGGTGTCAGTTTTAGCTTTGAAAGTATCCATGCATTAGCAGGGGAAATAGTCAGTATACTGTGTCTTAGAAAACCTTATAGGAGGCTCTAATAAGGTTCTTATTTTGAACTTTTTAAGATTCTTATTGGGGAACTGAATTAAGCAGATCTTTAAATTTTCTTTCCAGGAACATCCATTTGGCATCCAGCTTGTAGACAGGCTGCAAAGGCTGAAGAAAAAAACAAGGTAAAAGACTGTATTTTTACCCAGTGTTATTTGATTGTTATATTATTCTCTAAACTTTTTTTGCAGCAGGCATGGAGGGAAGGGTTTGGAATTTTTTCACAACGGTAATTTTAAATTTTAAAAGACAGGGATCTTGTAGGTTAATATAATGTAATAATGCAATGTAAATATTCTACCTTTACTTAGTGATTAAAGCTACAACTTCAGGAGAATGCTGACCTAAGAGTTACATGATAAGCTGAATAAGAAAAAATATGAAAATATGAAGAAGAAAAAAAAGCTAATTTTTAACTTCTGTCTGAGTATGATGTGATCAGTGCATGACCTCTTCTCTTTTTATGTGGCTCTGAACTTAAAAGATCAGAGGGTTTTCACTTTATTTGTTTTTACAAAAAAAATCCTTCCTTGGAGTTTCTTTTTTATTTTTTGTTTGTAAAATGTTGGCAAGCCAGTCCCAACTTAATTTAATCTCTGGCTTTAAGTACCTCCTTAAGTTGGATGATTTGTGCACCTGTCCATGTGCAAGAGGAAAAGGGGGGAGTTCTGGCAACTTGAATTACAAGGTTAGCAGATGAATAAGCTGCCCCTAGGAAATGAAAAATTAATGATCCCTCTGAAGTGGTGGGAGTGAGTTATAGCTATCTCATTTAATGCGGAGGCTGTGTATGGGGTTTTTTCACTTCTGATGTTCTCTGATGCTCCAAGTGGTACCCTTGGTATCCTTGTTCAGAAAAACTCTGCTCTGGTTCAAGGCTTGCAGGAAGGCACATGGGACAATCTGAACAGCAGGCAGCAGCTATAAAAAGATTGTTTACGAATCTGGTGTGTTAGCAAGTGAAACTTTGACTAAATTACAGTTTGAAAAAAAATTTTGGGGGGTTTTACCCTGAAGGATCTTGGCTATGTTTTTTGTACCCATGTTTTTGGAAAGTGATTGCTCTGGTGTTCTTCATGACAAGCTGTGAATATGAAATAATCTTCCTGAGTATATGTTTGTCTTTGAGTTTATCCTCTTTTTATGGTCTTTCTACTCCTTATTGAAAAAATAAAGTCAGAAGGAAGGATGCTGTTTCAAAGAGGGTAATAATGAACTTCTCAACATAACTTGTAAACTTTGGAAAGGGGTCTATTGCTTGAGAAATTTGCTGATCAACCTTGCAGATTGTTGTTTTCAAGTTATCTTCCTAAGTATAGATATATGCACAGCATGTAATTAAAGTAGGTGATAAAGGCAAAAGGAGTAAGCAGCAGCATGCTCCAAAGCTTTAGAGATGGAATGAAGGGGAAAAAGAAGTTGTGAAAAAGAGTGACAGCATAAAGACAAATGATGGGAGAGTGAGATTGTAAGCAGAAGGCATGAAGCTGGAAAAGACAGAAGAAATTAAAGCATCAAGAGAAAGTAAGGATTATAAAAAGGCATAAAGGAAAAAGAGGTAGGCGGAAGAAGAAGAAAAATGTGTAGTACGGAGAAAAGAACTAACAGAGGCAATAGAGTCAACAGAGTTGTGTTTTTATTGAAAAAGATAGGAGATTATGTTCAGCAAGCGTGGACTGGGCATGCTAAAAGAGGTGATCATGCAGAGAATAAAAGATGTGTGAGATGTGGAATGGCTCATATGCAATTCTTTAGCCACCAGTACCCTCCGAGTCCTTCTCCTTCTCCCTTCACCGCTCGGTTTGTGGTTGTGATATTGAGGATTGCCCTGACCCAGGTGCAGGACCTTGCACTTGGCCTTATTGAACTTCATGAGGTTTGCATGGCCCCACTCCCCAAGTCTATCAAGGTCCTTCTGGGTGGCATCTGGATGTCACACCAGCTGGGTGTCCTCTGCAGGTTTGCCAAGGATGCGCTCAATCCCACTGTCCCTGTCATGGATGAAGATACTAAGCACTACTGGTCCCAGTACGGACCCTTGGAGGACACCACTTGTTACTAATTTCCACTTGGACAGTGAGCCATTGTTCAGAGGGGTTACTGGAAACATGCAAGACTCATGCTGGGTTTTCTGGGGGAGGACTCAAAGGTGGGAGACTGGGATGGGTCTCACTGGATGCCAGGGAAGCAGCATGTTACAGCCAATGACAGAAGAACCAGGGGAAGACCCAGAACTTGAAAGGGACCTCTGGGGGTCATCCTGTCTAACCTCCCTGCTCAAGCATGGCCACCTAGAGCCAACTGCCCAAGACTATGCCCAGGACACAGAAAGAAGCTCTGAAGCTTTATCTACGGAATCCTGAGCTTAATCCAAAACTATGATTTGACTTTAACAGGGTTTAAAGCATTGGAATAGTGCAGTTTTCTTCAGTTATTTTTCTCCTCTGCATTGGGTTTCCTGTAAGGACATTGTGAAGGAGAATTGATTTGTACATTACATTAGTGCATTGATGACACTTTCATATCATTTACACGAGTTCTGGAAAACTGAAAAGTACTTTAACTATGCAGGAGAGGCATTTAAATACACTGGCCATGTTAAATGATCATCCTGAGAGCAGCCACAAGTATTTCTCAGATATTTCCATGCTTGCTCCCTTGGACCTTCTGAGTGTTTGCAGAGCCTCTGTGCAAGACAACTGAAAATTAGAAGGATGAAATTCCAAAATCCTAGTCAGACATGCCAAAACAATTAAACTGAATGTTTTTTATATGGCTACATATCTCCACATATTGACTCAAGAGAAGCCACAGGACTGTTTGGGCTAAAGAAGGTCAGTAGAAGGATACTCGTGACAATTTAGTTTGTTTGGTCTGTTATCACAAAACAGTACAGATATATTTACATATTGCTCTAAAAGCTAGTAAATACTTCAAAACTGAAGTAGTAAGAAGGATGCTACATTGACCTGACAGCTTAATATTGCTAAAATTCTTTTAGGGGTTTGAATAGTTGTAACCTCCAAGTAACAAGTGTCAGTTTTCAGAGAGACAGTAAATTGTGGTCATTCTGAGTGCATGGAAAAATACATTCTTTGCAATCAAGGACAGGTTTTTCCATAGATGGGCAAGAAAATTTTCCCAGAATTAACATATCTAGGTAAAAGAGGTTATAAACCCATCAATTTCATAGCAAGATTTGTTTAAACTTCAGTCACGAATGACAGGTCTGTTCACTTGTGGTTAATACAATTGCATCTCACAGCCCTTTGTTATTTAAAAGTAATTATATTTTTCATCATAAAGGAATCTACCAAAAATAAAGCAATAAGTGTCACACTGAATGCCAGAATGATTGAAAACAGAGCAAAATTGGTTGAGTATTAAAATTAATCTGGTAGTCTTACAGTCAGTGAAGGAGGGTAGCTATCCTATGGGCTCTCTGATGCAGGATGCTCTGCAGGATGTCATGTTTGCTATGAGTGAATGGCACAGTAGCATCACATGTTCCAGACACAATGTAGAATGGTTTGATGGCATAACCTTGGAGTAAAAATGCTGCTACTGTATCATCTTGTAACTTGACCTGTCCCTGGTAGTGCCCAAAGGCTGTCCTCTCACCCCAGAAGTGATCCAGCCTATTTCGTTCTGAAGAAAGGGGAAAAGAAAGTCATGCAATTTTTGCATTTTCAAAAGGTTAATTTGATTGATTGCAAAAGTGTTCTTTTATATTTAACTTTGTGCCTGTATGTTTTGAGCTCTCTATAATATGTCATTTTTGAGAGGTAAAGGTTAAATTAAATTAAATGTCTTTTATGTTCTTTCTGAAATAACAGTTGCATTATCTTTCTCTCTCCTCTATTTCCTATCTACTTCTCTTCTCCTACCATAGGAAACAAGGACTTCTTCTGAGAGTATTATTTCTGTACCTGCTTCAAGTACATCAGGTTCCCCAAGCCGTGTGATCTATGTGAGTATTTCATGGTGAAATTCGTTCTGTGGGATGGGGAAAATCCTGTGCTTCCTTCTACAGTTTAGCACGTTGTATGGAAAGTTAGTGTCTCCAAACCACTGCAGTTGGTGATTCCTCTAAAATGGAATTTACTTTCTCAAGTTTAAAATGTTTGAATACTGCATTTGCCATAACAGAATACTGGCAGTTTCCTCTAATTTTTGGTGGTGTATTTATAGCACTTGAATTACAACTAGAGCTGGCTTATACCAAAGCATGCAGAATACCACAGTGCTTTCTAAAAAGAAAAGTTTAAGTAAACAGTACAGCCCACAGGTAGATTACAAGCTTAGATTTGAACACAACTTGTCTAAATTGAGCTCTTGAGCCTGCATCTGATTGCTTATGAAAACACTCATGCATGTGATTGCCGGACTCTCGCCTTGCCAAATGCCAGTCCCTAACCTCAGAGGAGCTTTGACGTGTTTATGGTTTAAGAAGTGCTAGCTCTGGAAAGCCCAGAGAGAGAATTCAAAATAACAGGTATTGTAAAATCTTACGATAAGTCTTTTTTCAATAAAAGATCAAAATTGCTGTAGGTAATGTTCATGGCCAAATTCTCAACAATAGGTAAAAAATATCTGCAAGTGTGGCATGATCCATACAAATATTTCTTGAAGAGCTTCAGTATTTCAGGACATTTCTATGTTCTGGCCAAGTATCCCTTTGGTAGATGGATTGTTCTCATCAGTTAGGGCCATATGCTGAGAAAATTGCTGGAGATGGAATTGCCTTCCAGAGAGGTAATTTTACAAATATTGAGGGCTTTTATCTACTACACTAGGACAAGCAAAAAAATGCCTTGGATCTTCTTCCTTCAAGTAAAAGTTATTTTGAATGCCATATACCCTTTATCTGAGCAAGACTGAACTCAAAGTGGAAGAACTGTCCCTTATCTAAATGCTTGTTAGTGTTTCTGAGCTCCAGTGCTGGTGAATACCAGTGGTATACTCCAGTAAAAAAATGTCATTGTGAAGACAATTCATTGTGCTGGGAGCCTATTATCATGTAAGCACTTCTTTTGGCCAGATGATCTCTATTTCTCTGGCCATGAACCATCTCATTGTTTTTATCAGCATGACCATTCTTCTAAGATTTATGTGTTTTTAGTGACAGTTATCTGACTGTAGGGTGGTACTATTTTTCTTCATGTTTGTGATTACAGTTTTAAATACACTTCACAGGCTGTTAAAAGTCAAGGACTTGTTTTTGAAGGCTATCATTAAATCAGCACACAACTCTAATATTTGTTACTGTAATATACAGCTGCGACTATGAAAGAATAAAGTTGTCTAGCAAGTATGAGTCAACTGGAAAAAAAGATTCCCCAGAGGAGAACAAGTTCTTACTCTATCTGTCTTGTCTCTGCTTAATTTTCAAAGCTGTGAGATTGATTAAATCCAATTCTGGCTTTCACAAATAGGAAAGTAAAAAGAATTAAAAACATGTAAATGAATTCTGTATTACCAAAATGGTTCCTTGGCTTTTCTACATCTGCTTTCTCTTACAGGAGTGTTATGATGTACAGGCATGTTCAAGATTTGTCTTGTGTGCTTTTGTGATTGGTTTTGCCAAACATAAATTCATGCTTCCACTGAAAGAAAGGTCCTACACACTATGTAGCCCTGTCCCTCTTTGGTCATGTCTTCTCATCTCCTCTTTGGTGCTAGTACTAGTGGGTACACAGAGGTGTGATCAGTCAAATTTGAGACCAGACTGAGCTAAAAAATAACCCAGGAAAAAAACCCAGACAACAAAAAGAGGTTAAAAAAAAAGAACCAGTTGTCTACATGTCTTCTAGTGCTACCGTAGAAGGCAGAGTTGGATGCTGCACTCAGGACAGCATCTTTCAGCAGGAGCATAGATTTAGGTCACTAAAACCCATAGTAAAACTGTGCCTTGCCAACTGGTGAACTCTGTGAAGTACTGTGTTGGACAAAAGGGAATCTAGGAAAAACAGTTAAAGCTTAGGAACTCTGAATTTGTCGTGCTCACACTTTCAAAGGCATCAAGTCAGAGCAATGCAGTCGTTCTGAACAACATCCCATCTCAGGGCAGGCGTGTTTCTGGGTCACAGCTGAGTTGTCATCTAAGAAGAAGAAAAGTGTATTTCGACTGGATCTGAATGTGGTTCATACAACTGGTTTATTAAAGCCATACCACTTTTTCTTCTTCTACTGATAACAGGCATTGGTATCTTCTTGCACTGAGAGGGCACAGGCCAGTGCCTTTTGAAGGTAATACTGGGTGTCTTTTCATGATCTTTAGTGATGGCTTCATTATATCCAGACTGAAAGTTGCCCTAGTGCTGACATGGCCTCAGAGCCCTTAAATACCACTCAAAAATTAGTTGATTTCTAAATTATGCCATTAAATAAGATTTAAATAAAAGTCCTGCTTTATGCTTTACTAAATTTTATTAAGAGAGAGTTAGGTGCTCCAACTTAATATATCCAGCTGGAAGGTTTAGGTTAGTTTAAATGTCTGTGTTGTATGTTCTCTTATACAAGGAGTAGAAATCACACTATTTTTATACAGATCATATTCACAATTATACAATTGTAAAATTACATATTCCAAATGAAAAAGATACTCTAAACTTAGAGCATGGTTTTAACAGAATCCAAAATACCAGATTATTGAAGAACTGGCTTAAAGCTTCTAAGCTGTAATTTGAGCCTTCCTTAGCAGATTTGAATTCCACTCACATAATTGAAAGTAGGTGAAACAAATAAAATAAAAACACAGTGTAGATTGAATGTCTGGTGAATTGAGTGTTTAGAAAACAACTGTATCCCTAAGGTGTTTTTTCATCCAAATTTACCTACATCTTTATATCTAAACTGAAAGGTATTACATAGCTACATAAATTTTACTCCTGACAGTTCTAAGTCTAGTGGGAAGTTGCACATCTACATGGAGAGATGGAGGCAAAAAGCCTGTAATTCACGTTTAAATATTCCCAGTTCTGAACTTCTTTGGACTCACTAGAATAATGCTCACAAGCCTGGATACCTTAAAAATGAAATCACAGCCTCCTTGGCCTTTCTTCTAGGTGCAATGCTGCCAAAGTGTTCCTGGAACAGATGTGATGAACAGACTCCTTACCTTTGCATTACCTGTCTCTGCATCAGAGCTTGCCACTGACTTCTCAGTAGGGAGGGACTTATTTTTATTAAGGGGCTATTTCTTTGCTCTTTAGCTTCTTAAAGTAGCTGGAAGGAAGGGGAGACCTATAGATTGATGAAGAATCACATATTTGGTTAAAACACATTTTTTCATTACTTTTGAGGATGGGAATATGTGATGTTTATGGCAGCTTTGTTGCACTTTCTTAGTTAAGAGGAATCTTCCTTCTTTCCATGTAGTTTAAGTTTGAACAAAGTCATGCATTGTTTTAGAAAAAAGGATGACTGAAAATTATCAGAGTAAATTTTTCCTGTATGATTAACCTGATAGAAAACTTCCTTGGAAAATCTATTAAAATTTTCTTAGCTCATACTAAGAAAAAGTATAATTACTACACACATAAATCCTAGATACTTTTTGTATTTTTGCATGTGGAAAACATTATTACAGTTTTATAGCTGATCCTACTGATATTTTCAGAGAACAGCAAGATTCACTCATCATTTTGCTGCCAAAATAGAACTTATCATTCTGCAAAATGTGAACTGGGAATGAGGCAATTATGCTGCCTATTTCTCCACTCTCAATGTGGCCAACTTGTAATCGTATCTACAAGATAGTATGTGCTGGATACAGTTTTGGTGCAATTATAGGAAAGATAATCTGTGCAAATGTGGCAGTTTGATAATTACACTTTTGAAATAAGTGTAGTAAGAGGAGAATGGGGAGCAACACAGCCCTTTCCCTCTGTTGGCTCTGTGAGTCTTATGACATGATTTGAACTTTACTTGATTGGCATCTGTGATCTTCCATCTCATCCACCATGCTGCAAATCCATCATCTGTTGGTTTGTGACCCAGAATTAAGGGCTACTTAGGCATAGTCAGGAAAGGAAGTGAAGCTGTGAGACACTACTTGAATGGGAAAGATTAAAGACCTGACTAATATTTTTAAGCATATGGAGAAGTATACGTTGGAAATACTTATTTGATTATTCACTACTGCTTACAGTAGGGGAATTCTGCACAGTGAAACCACTTCAAAATTAAGGTTGTTTTGCCTGAAAAACATTGCAATATCTGTCTCGTGTATCTGTTTGTGCAGACAGGAGTAAGTGGGATATAACCAGGGAATTGGAATGATGCCATGCTACTCCTGTTAGCCAAATGTCAGTGGCAAAGTGACAAAGTGACAAAAGAAAACAGCAGTAATATTTTGCACTGTGTAGTAAATACAAGATATTTATATGTGCACAAACACAAAAGGTGATTTATTATGATGATGACTTTTCTACCTATGCTTATCTGTCCTTGTCTGATTGCATCCTGATCATATTCTTTCTTGTTCTCACTGCTTTCTTTCCTCCTTTTCTTAGGCAAAGCTTGGAGATGAAATTCTTGACTACAGGGATTTGGCTGCTCTTCCTAAAAATAAAGCCATCTATAACATTGACCGCCCAGATATGATCTCCTATTCTCCATATATCAGTTACTCTTCAGATGACAGGCATAGTTACGGGGAGGTACTGAAATATGGGTATTTTTTTTCTATGAGTTTCAGGTTTTATGTGCATCATTGAACATGTTGCTGAACACTACCAAACATGTGCATAACTTCTTTAAAAAATGTAACTTTTATAGCTTCAGTTAATTGAGTCATGTCATCCATTCATTCACAAGGCCTTCCAAAAAAAATCAAACAAGACCAACATGTTCATTTCACTTTTTAGTTTGTGGAAATGAAAGAATTGCTTTCTGTGATCATTTTTTAAAGAGATGACATGTAATTAAAATATGTTTTTCCATGAGAGTAGTTTCTGCATGCGGTAGGAAACAGGAGCCATTGCTAATTATAATGCAAAAATCAGAAGTGAAGCCAAATGTCTTCCATGATTTTTTTTTTTTTTTTAAGTGTACCATGTTATTTTGGTAACACAACAGTGGTATCACTTTCCTATGTACAAATTTCTTTCAACTGTCCCTTACTAAAGTTCACCCTCATGTCATGCACGCACTTCAGCCTTTTTGTATGCAGAGCTAATATGATACAGTTTGTGCTAATGAAATCTAATTTAACATACTAATAACTAATAGTAATTCTGTGTTTGCAAAACATACTTGTATGTAACTCCTGTCATGCAAGTTAGCTTTTCTTCTTTCAACATATGTACCTTTCATTTGACTTTCTGATTTCTTTTAAAATTTTAGCTACATTTTTACAAATCAAACCTTTTCTATATGATAGGTATTAGCAAGATATATACAGTCTAGAATGGAAGTCAGCTTTGTTCTCTATAAGTGAACGGGTAGAAATAAATCCTATAATTGATAGCCATAATATTTTTACTAGCCCTAGTTCTGCTATCACTTATACCTTTTAAACTTAATCAGTACCACTAAAGTCTCAATACTACTGTCAGGTGAAGTGCAGCACGTATGTTAGGCTTTACAGACTTTCTTCCAAACCCTCTCTGCCCAATGCTGAACCACAGTAGCTCCATTATAATGTATCCAAAAAGAATTAAAATTGTATTTGATAAAGGCTTTAAATGGCACTTAGGTCTCTGATTTCACAAAACTAAAAGCTGCTGCCTAATACTGAACCTATGGAGCATAAGCATTTCCTTTCTCTGTCAAAATTTGTTGGTGCTGATAATGTTTGTGGCCCTCTTCAACTGCCTGGTGACACCTAGGCTTGGCAGAGGTGCATAGACCAAACAACCTTCTACCCCATTCCTGTGAGGACTCAGTCATTGCACCTGCTCCACTGTTATTCTGGGCTATGCTTGCAATCCTATGTGCACATTTTCCTGGCGCCCCAAATATTTATATCCTGTATATTGCCAGAGGAAAAAAAAACCCAAACCCTGTCTTCCAAATTTCAGCATCCTGGCTACTACCTGCAGCTGCGATAGTTTCACTAGATTTGCTCAGCTAGCCAAACATAGCATTTAATTTTGAAAGGAAAATGAGCATCAAATGGTCAAATCACATGATGTTTAATCGAAAATCAAATAGTGCAGATATTTTGTTTTTCCTTAAAACAGCAAGTTCTAGTCCTGATTCTGGAGGTCCTTCAGTGCAGATTTAATTAGAGCTTGTGTGTAGTTTTCAGGCAGTTGTTTTAAATGGCAGTTTGCTACTAGCAGCACTCTCTGTGGCACAGGACTGGCCTCACCAGACCCCAAGACTTTGTAGTAGAGAAATCCCTAAAAGACTAATATGAAATTATTTATATATTATTCCTTATGTACTTAAAAACGGATAATAAGAAAAAATGCCCTAACTTAATTGACAGGTGTTTTTCCTAACTGTATCATGTGTATCATGGATAGTGATATTTTTAAAGTAGTTCTTCTCACAAGTAACCTCATGCATGAATTTGTATCACTAATTTGTTGTGTGTTGCTGTTTGCAGTCACCTCAGTTGCTCTCTCCAACACCTACTGAGGTAATCCCCAATGCCTTTGTTCTCCTATTCTGACCCATTCTGTGGTGCATAAACCTGGTCATACTGATAACCAGCAGCATCTGAAGTGTGGGGTTTGCCTCCTGCCTCTACAGTGCATGGGGTTTATAATTTATGCTTTTCACAGTGTTACTTGTGTTCGATAAGTACTCTGCTTCTGGATTGTCATCTGTATGCATCTGTCTCCACTGTCATCCATGTTTCTGCTTTCCAAAATAAAGGTGGTATGGTGGTCACTTCTTCAAGCTCTACTTAATAAATTATATTGAGAAATATGATTTATGTTTACATTTAAAGCTGCCAGCATGAGTTGACTTGAACTGATGCTTGGCAAAGCTTTCTCTTCTTTTTATTTCTCTTTTTTATTCCACAAATAGTTAAACTACTTATACTATTTGTGCTCACATACTGTTAAATCATTTGCACATACCTGAAGTTCTAGATCAGTGTCCTTTGATGTGCATTAATGATCAAAACTAGTCATTGCTTCAAGAAACATCACTTTGGAAGCAGTGAAAGCATTTCACATAGTTTCCCAGATTACATACTCAATTACATATCAGGAGTCTGACTAATTTCTCCATTATCCCAGTTTATGTACTGCAAAATTTGGTAATCATGGAAAACTGCAAATTGTCATTAAGGACTGTAAATCACAAACTGTTACTTTAACCACTAGTTAAACAGAGAAGTTAACCAATAGAGGTGTAATTTAATTGATAGTTTAAAAATAAAAGCGTGCTTTATTTAATACTGGGTTTCATGAACTAGATTGTTTCTTACAGAGATACAAAGTACACAAAAGGTAAGGTCTGAAACAATATGAAGACTTGGTGTTTTGGAAGATTATAATAATTTCCTTTAAATGACATACGAGTTAACAAAGTGCCAATATTCGTAAATTCCAAAAGTGATACTGGTGTGGAGGTTGGGGCTGCCATGATTTGTGTTACATGAATACTCTCACGTTATCCAGCTTCTCCGTGCTTGCTATCTTTCTCTGGAGAGTCCATTATCAGGTGCATGAGCATCATCATCTGCAAACTTGTCACCAGTTTTGTTGCAGAGATTTTTATTAGAGGAAAATTCCACTGTATCATACAATTGGACACATCACAGACCATTAGCTAACACTCATATGATATTTAAATATCATCACAAGACTTTGTAGAGACATTGCAATACTACTTGTAACTCTCTTCACAAAGGTTAGAGTGGGTAGTAAATAATGTAACTACTTTGGGAGGGAAACATCTCAAACTGGACATAGAGTTGGTGGCAGAATGTCCACAGAATGCTGCGTGCTTGGGAAGGCATCAGTTGTTCTCTGCTTTTTCATGATTTCTCCTAAACTTGATATTAAAGCAGTAATGCTGCTGACCACTATACAAAACTGATTTTCCACTTTTGAAAAGGCAGTCAGTGGGCCTGGGGTGAGGTTGAAGAGATGGAGCACACCTGGACCACAGGAGGAAAACCGATGGTGTGGGAATATTGTACATCTCTGTAGAGTCAAGGATAATCCCATCTAAAGATGAATGTATGGATATAATTAAGTTGTCCTCATAGGAATCTGGGTGATGATCATGGGGCCAAGTAGGGTCTACTGTGTGTTTAAATGATGAAGAATCCAGTGGGAGTCACACAGATGCTGAAGGGTGTCCCCATATTCATAAGTGACTAACACCTGCTATGGTATAGCATATCTTTACTCATTTCTACTGGGATAGGGGAAGGGAAGCATTTTTTGGAGTATGTCTTTCCATAAAGGAGCATCTGCAGTTTAGGTTGATTTGTTCCAATTTGAAGCTAACTCAAACCGATTCTCACTTGTCTTAAAAGAAGCAAGAAATTTGAATTTGCTCATGTAGCTATTTTACAAAAAGTCACTTCCACATCTATTTCACTCAGTAAGGCTTTTACTGTTAAGAAGACATGCAAATTGTAGTTGCAGTTTAACTAGCTGTAGGGAGTGAGAGGCTTGGAATGGGTGTACATGGTTTTAACTGATTGAAACCACAGGTTTAGTGGGACTTGAATTGTCTTACTTGCTTTGCACAATGCTGCAGTATTAATGCTATTGCTGTATATGAGTGTTTATATGTATTTCGTAGCATAATGACTGTGTTACAGTGTGGTACATTGGGCAATTTATACAGTTGGTTTTGTGATTTAATGAAACCAACAAATGCTGATTTTTGTGTTGTCTATAACCATCATGCACCCATTCATAGGGGCACAAAGTGGTCATAATGCTCTCATGCTAACCTGATCTCATCTTCCACCCACCTATGTATGTTCTTTTCAAATTATATTGTAATTTTAAATTCATGTATGTGCTGAATTTCCTGGTAACATGACCGTTCTCTGATACTTGGCAGAGCTCTTTCAGTCACGTTGAGGTGGAGGTGCTGAAAGCCACCTCATTTCACTGGGATTGCATGGAATCTTAGGACAACCACTTCCATCCTCACAGCACAGAAACATGCAAAATGGCATACTCTGCCTGTTTCAGAAGTCATTTCTCTTCCCTAATGATGTGTATTTTGTGTCTTCCTCTAAGGGTGACCAAGATGACAGATCTTTCAAGCAGTACAGAACATCAAGCCCGAGCTCTGCTGGCTCGCTGGGCTATGGTCGCTACACCCCAACCTCCCATTCTCCTCAGCATTACAGCAGACCAGGTAATCAAAAAGCAGCCTTACTTGTTCTCTAGATTTTTCCATGACTTGGTTTTATGATGCAAGTAGAATAGACTCCAGGGGACAGGAGTTTAAGGTGGAATAGCAGTTAATTGCAGTGATTTATTTACTGTAATCAGAGAATCCCATGGGAAGAAAGGAAACAAGTGCTTCAGGAACATGCATCGAAGAAAACAAAAATAGGCATTTAAAAAAATTTGATTTTATGTAGATACAAGATAGAATAGTTTAAAGGACTTAATCCTGGTCCCATCTTGCCTGAAGGTACATATTCAATCTGCAGCTCTTTCGAGGTGTGGCACAGTAGCGGTGAATACACACAAGAGGGTGATTGAGTGATTTCGTATCCCTTCTTGTATCACAGGGTCATGGTTCATGTCTCCTCTCCACAGGGGAAGAGCTGGAGGAGTGATTAGTGATTCTAGTGGCTGGAGTTTGAAGGCCAGGTTGATTTAGTCGAGAAGTTTACAGCAGTGTTTATTGCAGCTTTGGGCTGTAGTAGCAACTGTGCTGGTGCTCTTGTCAGAGAGGAGGGATCACCTCCTTTTGACCTTTGCATGCCTTACAAAAGCCCATTCATATTTGGGATTTGCACAGAGTTTTATCCATGGAAATAATCAATAAAATTGCTCAAAATTAATTCTGTTTTTTTCTCAACTCCATCCTTCTGGTGGAGAACATAGATCATTTGTATTATTTTCTTGGTGTCTTTTAATTAACATTGGGGATACATTATAATTATAAACTAGTTTGGAAAATTGTGAGTTCTTAATCTTTCCAGGGAAATGAAGATTTTATAGGTAACAGAAATGGTTTTTGCAGGAATTGAATATTTTTACTATGTAAAATCTTTGACAAAGTGGAAATGAGTTTGACTATAAAAAGACCTATTAGAGAGAGGAAAGATAGTTTCTCCTGAAGGTCTGTCATGCCTAGGCTTAGCAGCACACTGTTAAAGCAATAAGGAAAGATAAAAGGATTTATTTCCAAATGAATTCTAATGTTTTACAGCTTCATTGAAACTTTAGAAGATAATCATCATAATCACCACTTTTAATAATTGCCATTAGTCCTCCAAAATATGTTTTCAGGACATTATTACAGCACAGCAAACAAAGATGACTTTTGAGAATGGTTTTCAAGGTACTTAATCATATGTCTAACTTTTAAAGCTTGAATAACTTCAGGATGTTTCTTCAAATACTTGAATTAGCTCTGCACTGGAGCGCCCTGGTGCATTGTGAACTAAATCCTACCGGTGTGCACTGCTGGCAGTGAGAACTGGACCCACTTGTGGCGCAGTTCTCAGCAGAGACAAGGCTCTACCCATTTCATTTCATGAGATCCATTTTGAGCATTTATCATTCCCTCTTGCAGCTTTTGAATATGCAGGTTTTCCCCTGAGTGCAGCCATGCTTTTCGTGGTGCCTTTTCTGGAATATTTTCTGATGCGTTACAGTTTATGGGACACTCTCTCTGTCTGCAGAAAGCCCCTGTCCCTTGGCCAACCCCGTAGTGTGGCCACTGTCATGTTCTTAGCAATAACCAGCGAAAGATGAAGTCTTAAATATAGACTATGTTTTCTAAGCATCAGGAGGAAAATGTTCCTGAAAAAAAAAAGGACGGCGTTGTAATTTGTGGCTTTCAGTAAGTGAACTAAATAGTTTATTTTCACTTACTCTCTGTTGCCCCCAGCTGGTACTCAGAGTCTTGGTACCAGTAGCTGCATCTCCCTGCCCCAACACCCAAGCCCTACATCTACATTCAGACATCATTACATCCCTTTCTTCAAAGGTAAGGTCCAGGAATGCAAAACCGTGCTGTGATACTGTAGATTTATTCAGCTGTGTTTCACTTTTATGTGTGTGCAAGCATGGCTTCCACTTGGATAAAATTTGTCTTAATTTTGTGCAAGTGCTTTCTTGATGTACTGTGTAAGTTTTACAAACTGAGTGGGTATGGGTTGTTTTATTTTTGCTTTTTTCAGTGAGTGTTAAGTGTCTTTCAAAGGGGTGGAGGGAAGGAATTAGCTTTTATAATAAAATTGAGGGAGGGAATTACTTTAAAGTCTGTTTGTTCTAAAATATCTTTACCCTATTGTGGTGATGATAAATAGTATAATAAGCTTATACGTTGGATACAACATAGGGTGATCTGTTATCTAACCTTCCAACTTTTAGATATTCTTCCTATTATTAGTAGCATTGCCAAAAGTTATGGCAGCTGGTTAAATCAGTACAGCTGCACTGATTATCAATTAATCTGTGCCATATATTATAAGACAAGATTAACTGAATCTATTCTCCTTGCAATTTTTTTGCAGTGGATATTAACTTTTAACAGCTTCCATGTTGAGGATGTGGGACAGTACTGAGGAATGCCAAGAGACTTTGAGGCAAAGCTATTTTTTTTTAGCTTGTTAGCTAAATGTCAGAAAGAGAAGACATTCAGCTACCACGTCTTCCCCTGCTTCTGTCTTCTCTAGTAGCATTATCAGCTGTAAGGAGACAGGAATAGCAAACATTTTCAATTCCTGTTCCTTGACTCTCATGATTTAATAAAGTAAAACTGTTGTTCTTGCTGTTGTAACCATTACAGAAAAGGAAGTGACCCTCTGCAGGAGATAGACTTGCACACTCAAGTAAATAGCAGGCACTCATTTCCTTTGGAATAATAAGTAATGCATCTTCATTGGGCCCTAATGCATCCAGAAACAGTTCTGCCCAAAGTCAGCTGAATTTCACTGGTATGAACAGGTTCAAGTCTTCCAAATATGATCCCTGAGAGAAAATTTTGGAGGAAAAAGCTGATGAGAGTAAACTGATTGTTACCATTTCAGAGTCCACCTGCAAATCTCCTTTCCACAACAAGAAGCAGTCAACCTCCCATGCATTTTTTGGAAGGCTGGCACACACCCTGATATTCTCTGAGGCACTGCTTTTTTGATCTGTCCTCTAAATTTGGATGGTATTATGCAACCTGATGTACTGAGTAAGAAAAACTTCTTTGCTGTGCTGCAGTGCACAATTTCACTGAATGGAAAGCTCTTCCTCGGAGTCCTGCTGGCAGTTACTTGGCAGCACTCCTGTTAAAATGAGTTTTTGTTCAGTGCTACCTGCTGTTGCTCAGAGCAGCAGCAATTATTAAGTGCTGCTGTTTGGATGAAGAAATCCTCAAGTTGGTAGTTCCTTGTACCCAAATAACTGTTCGTAATGTGATCAAAATTATAATATTTTGCAATTCTGAAGCACTTTTTGTCAAGGAGCTAAAATATTTTTAAGCGGTACCTTAAAGTGCTTCACAGTGCTCTTGTGAGGCTAAAAAGGTGAGCCTGTTTTTAATTTTTCTAAATAGGTAATCTTGAGCCTTGCTGAGGTTGTATAGATTATCCACTGGTTTACACTGACTTAATGTGTCAGTCCAAAAGGAGTCAGAAGATTTGCCCTATCCTTTTCAAGGTCTCTGAATTCTGAGTTCCAGTCTGTGTTTTTTTTCTTATCTGGAGGAGCCTTTTGATGGTGTGGATGTGCTCTTTTTTTCTCTTTGAAGTGGTTAGTGTGGAAAGAAGAGGATTGTAGCAATAGTTGCTTTGTATCCAGACCAACTTTAATGTTGCCACTTCAGTTTTAAGAAAGTGAAATCATACTTGTTTAAAAAAATATGATTAAATCCAAAAATAATACACTGCTTCATAGTAGTAGAAGTAATCTTTGTAGAACCAGCAATCCACATTCGTCATAAAAGATATTTCTTTAAGCTTCCAGGAGACAGATATGTTATTACTCTAGGGAAATTAAGACAAGCAAAATCTTCCTTTTGATTTCACTGAGTTTGCATCATATTTTTCCTGAGAATGACATGGTTCATAATTTTTTTCCAGTGAAAAATATGATTATGGAGTTCCTGTTCTTCCATCAGTGTACTGTAGCCTGGCTCCCATGCAGTATAATAGGATGATCTGTTCTTCATCATGAAGAAAAGTAGTTTGGTTGTGCTCTTTTAAGGATTTTTGTCTTCAAAATAAGTCCAGCTGCACTTCAAGAAAGCTTGACAGTTCATGCCCTTGCAAGTCATAGGGTGTGATATTCCAAGCACCTGTGGTTGGTGTGGCTCTTCCTCTTGAGGTATTGGAGTCAGTGGGTGTGCTGAGCCCTGCTGAAAAAATGCTTACTTAAAACATGGTGGACATTATCTTGCCTTTCTAGTGCAGGAGCACAGCTTCCAAAGCCCATTTATTTGGCTTTGAAAACTTGAAAAGAATTAGTCATCAAACTTCAAAAAGCTTTGTCTATCTTAATGCAGCGTGGGCAGAGATATTAAAGGATCCGGTTTTGTGAGTAGGCTTGGACATCTCCCTCATTAGGCCAGAGGCATTTGTTTGTTGTTCAGTCCTGAACTTAGACAGCTCTTACTGTAACTTGTTATCAAATTTCCCATCCTCCCAGATAAGATAAAAGCTGACTAGGAAGGAAGTATAAGCAATATTATACTTTTCTTGACAGTCCCTTGAAAAGGGAGCATAGTCAAAGCCCTGGTCAGTTGGCTCCACACACACAGACTTAAATGTGCAGCCTGCCCTGTCAGCAGCCAGAGGACACAAGGAGGTTTTTGTGGTCAACACTCAAATTCAAAGTAAACCTTTCCAGATTCTTTCCAAGTTAAACAAAATTCAGGGAAGACTTCAGGATTCTGTTTTTTTGCTCTTCACTGACCAGCAAAGCAGATCACAGCCTGTGGATGCTTGTGGCAGAAGACAAACCCAAAAATTTGAAAAATTGCTCTCTCTGGTCTTTTCCCTGAGACCTTATTTGAAGTTCTTTGTCAGTGTACACCAGGCAAACCTTGAAAGAGATAATTTATTGGCCAAGTCTCATTTTAGAGATTTAAATTTAGCCTAGGTTAAGCATTTGTCTGTAGTTCCTACACAGTAACTTCTACATGGGTCTTGAGTTTACTTTATTATTAAACACCTTTTTTTGTGTGCAAAATGTGAAGTACAACTACTGATGCTTGTCCAAATCAGTGGCAGAATTAAAGTTTAAATGTGAATCAGCTTGTATGAGTGGGGTGCAAGAAGAACCTTTTCCATCATTTCATCATTAAGTCTTCCACTTCGAGCAAGTTGGAGATGATGGCTTTGCAAATTGCTCCACATAATCACTTGGATTGAGCAACTTGTAGATTTTTTGTCCCCTGGTACTTGTTCTTGTATCCTGTTCTCTTACAAGTTTATTCCTCTTAATTAATGCTTCCTCCTGATGCCTTGCTGACACTCTACCCTATCCCTGAAGAATGACTTTATATGTGGGTATGATACCAGCACCTTGGGTCACTGATCGAAGAAGTGATTATTCCTGCAGGTCATATATGAATATACATTTTTAATAATATGCTGATTTTTAAGTAAATGAGGAAATAATACACTGTGAAAATTGCTTGAGAACTTTCATTTTTTGTTTAAATTAGAAAATTCCATTAACAACATCTCATTTCAATGAATTACATTACAAGATTTTTAAGAATTTTGGAGTTGGAAGGGACCTTACTTTAATAAGTATCTACCAGTGACATTGAGGCTTATTTCATTTAGTAGGGATGGCCAGGAATCTGGGCAGCAAGCAGCAGAGAAAGAGCAAATTCATAAATGTGCAGTGAAAACTTGTCACCACTTTCTTTCTTCCAAGAGCAAAATCAAGAAACTGAGTAACTGTCAGGTTCCTTGTCTGAGGAATACTTGACTGCTAGTAGGTGGTGGTGCACCAGATTCTCAGTAATTCTGTAATTCTTCCCTTGCATTTTGGAAGGACCATAGGCTATCAGCATGTGTAGTTGTGATTCCAATTTCTCAACTTCTCAGATTACACTTTTTCAACAAGAAATCACTGTTAGTGAGTACACAGTGGCCACAGCTGAATGGGTTTTGAGTTTTAATAAAATAACAGACACAAAATTTAGAATGGATTGGTCAGTGTATTGTCATGAGATACGCAGCACGCTCTTCTGACCTTGTCTGTCCTGTTTCTGCTCCTGCTGAACTCAGTGGCGCTACCCTTTGACCTCAGTGGTGCATGTCAAGGCTGGCAATCCGATGACAGTGCATCCACTGCTCATCAGCAGGGCACAGATCACCTCCATGGGCATGGCCTGGACAGTTCTGGTAATCCAGTAGCTCTATGGTTATAAAACATCCCCTCCATGAAGGTAGAACTCAGTTACAGATCCAATACCCTGAGCTGCTGCATTTTCTTTACCCCTAACATAACTTGCTATAATTTCATCGTTACTAGCCATTAAATCTGTGCTTCGTCCACACTAAAACAGTAATGGCGAATTAACAGTCATTTTATGTAAGAATAAATGTCATGTTTGCTTCCAGTTGCTTAACAGTGCTGTAAATTAAAAGGATTTTACAAGTCCCAAAAAAGTAGAGCTTTACTTTTTTGTTTGCCAACCAGCACTATAATGCCATAGAGTGTGCTTCAGGGAAATAAGAGGAAATGAACGGCACCTAATGAGCATTTGACAAAATGTGGAAAAATCAATATGGAACAATCTTATGCATATCTTGAAACTTGGTGAAGCGACTATGGCATTATAGATCCATGACTTGATAATCCAACCTTGTTTGCATAAAAATAGTGTGGCATGTTACCTGTGGAAAAAGTTTGCAATTAAGAGCCGAATTTCAACATCTCTTTTTGTCACTGATACGTGCAGGATTATTTGACTTAACCATAACATTTGGTACTTTGGTCTAGTCCTGCTTTGAGATAATTGAAACACTACTGAATGATTTCATTACTGGTTTCAGGGGCAGGCTATGAGCCATAGCATTAAACTTTTAAAACACTTGCTCAATAGATTATTCAGTTAAGGCTGTGCAAAAACACAATACAGAATTGTGGATGTTCTTATCCTTTGATTTTCTTTATGAAAGTGTCATTAAAAGAGAAGCTTTAATTTCAAAGTAGGGCAGTTTAATCTGATATTATCTATCTATCTATCAGATACTAGTTTTTGATGAGACGTTTGGCATCTGAGCCAGTATACTGTGCTGAAAAATAATGGGTTTTAAGAAAACATGGATTTAAAACTGTTGGATTAACAAGTCATTTTGAACAAGCTTTTATGCTTGAAATACTCTACTTTGCTTTCCATTTTTTCTTTTATCTGCTTTCTTTGCTCTTCCCCTTGGAGGCAGTGAAAGTGGTCGGAGCACTCCAAGCTTATCCATGTACTCTGAGAGCAAATCTTCACCTTCTGTCTATCAGCAGGCTCCTAGGCATTTCCATATTCCAGGTAGGCATTAACTGCTTAGCTTTTGATCTTCAATTGCTGGCACCTGTTTATTCTCTTCTGAATGTAATTTTCTTTTGGCATCGATTTGTGAATTTCAAAGTCAAAGAGAAGAAAATGTCTGACAAGTAAATATCTGTTACCTGTTAAACTTCCTCTCAGAAATAAAGGAGTTAGAGAGCTGTGTGCTCATGTGCATATATTTTTTTTAAAAAAATTGCTGTACAGGAGGCACACAGTGACAAATGTTGCTAAGACTACAGAGTTACAGCAGTGCTGGGTTAATGGTTGGACTTGATCTCAAAGGTCTTTTTCAGCCTTAATGGTTCTAAGAGTCTATGATTTATAGTGCCATAACTGCATAAGTCTGTTGAATGTGTGTGCAGGAGGAATAACTGAAGGGGTTTTTGTTTAGTTGGGTTTTTTTCCTCCTTATCCATCTGTTCTCTGAATTTAAAAGTCATATTGACATAAACTTTGAAAGTAGCTGGAAGACTTCAGAACTGCAGGAAGCTCACTGTGGCTGGCTTTGCATATGTACTGTACTGTTTCCAAGTTTACATTCAGTTAACAAGCATTAAATTTATATCCACACTGTTTAGTTTTTTGACTGCTAAGCACATCTACCTGTTCAGTGGCGTAATTTGTTTATTCATTTTTTGCTTCTGGGGTTAATGTTTCTATAAAAAGACCACAATTAGGAATTGTATCTACTCAGATCCATAGTACTGAGTAAATCTGATGTCTGTACAACATGATATGGGAACCCTGGGCTGTGGCTCTGGGGGCTTTCAGAAAATTCCTGGAAGGCCAAGTAAGCTATACAGTTCAAAATATAGAAAAATTGTAGGATTTCCTATAAGAATATTGGGTATCACCAGTATAATAATTTATATCTGAACACGTACATTTTGTTTGTAATTAATGGAGAAAGTCCTTTTTCAAGTGTGACTGTTATAGTAGTCTGTTGCATCTCTATAGGAATTTAAAGTAGTGACAAATATAGCCAGTTTCTCTTTGCTGTCTGTGAAGTGTACATATCACCAAATGGATGCCATTCAAGGTGTCTTAAAGCATTCTGAGGGACTTAGGGGGGATTATGTTGCAGAGGTAGGTATACTCAATGTTTTCAATACATAAAGATGATGGATAAAAGTCCATTTTTTTGCAATAAGCAGTGAATGACAAACCACTGAATGAATGCATAGTGTTTGCTGAAGTTTTTAGCATTGTTAGTGTTGTTGACAGGAGACAAGAGCGGCATGATCTTGCTTACTCTTTCATTCTTTCCTTTCTCTTTCCTCTTCCTCAGACACTGGCGTAAAAGATAACATCTATAGGAAACCTCCTATCTACAAACAGCATGGTACAGTCTGCTTTTCTCTGTTGCAGTTTTATCTACTTGTCTATGAAAAAAAATTCATATTGACTCCCAAATTTGTTTGCTGTAGTCTTTGCATTTCATTGTCCCTGTAATCTCAAACAGAAAAGGAGAAAAAGTAACATGAAAATTAAATATTGTTTTGTATAACATGCAGTCCGAGGATATAATAAGTTCTCCAAAACTGGGATGATGGTATTTTGATTTATCTTGTTAATTCAGAATTGATACTAACTTTAATGCAGTTTTCTTATTCATGGAATGACAGGAAACGTGAATGTTGAAGATTGCTATTCTGTTTTCAAACCATGCCTTGCTATATCTAGTTTTTGTAAATCTAACTTCTAAATTGCTGGAGAAAAAAAATATGTTCATTGACAAGTGGTGTTCATTGATAAGTGGCATATATGAAATATCTACTTTTCATCTGTAAGTTCTTCAAACTGTAAAATACCAATAAGAATAAAAGATATCAAATAACAATAGATATCAGTAAGGTAATAGATAATAATTAAATGGATAATAATAAAATATACCAATAACAAAAAAAAGAACAAATGTAGTCACACCATGGCAGTTAGAACAAATTCAGTAGCTGGTAACATCAGCAAGATGTGATTGGAAAACCTTTGGTTGTCCCAGCAATGACATTTTAAACAACAGAAAGAAATATGTGATCTTTTTATGCCACTGAGAATCTGAATTAAGACCTTAGTAAATAAGAAAAATAAAAATATAAATTCTGCTTTCTTCTATTATTATTTTTGCACTATATTTCACTTATTAACATCAGTGCAATTTCCATGTTAGTGTGAGTGCCGACTGTGTTCTCAGTGATGTTTGACAATGATCTTGGTTCACAATACATGACTAGTTATAGGGAATTCATTTTTCTAAACCAAATTCCACTATTAATTTTTGAAAACAAATACGTGAGGGTTCTGCTGCAATAAGGGTGCCTGAAAAGTACAGTACCTTTCTGATTAAAAGAGTCATGACTTGGGTACTCCTGTACTCATGGGCAAAGGACAAAAATAAAAATATAATATGTGATATAAGTCTGCCCCACACCAAAAACTATTTTCATCATGACTGCACCCCCACCTTGCAATGAATGAGAGAATAAAATAAACATGAGGGATGTTCATCACACTGTGAGCTAAGGCACTTTGGGGATGAAAGCATGTGCCTTCAGGGATACAGGTGGGAGAATGAGGCTATGGCACTCTTCCTGGTGAGGGAAGTTCCAGGCAGTGCCTGTGAGCAGTGTCTTTGTTGGAGCAGCTCCTCCCATCCTATTGCCTTTTGCAGCACAGAGGTGACTTCCTGTGCTATACTAGGAGTGAGAAGGCTCTTTGTATCTCTACACCCATACTTTGGCTTCAGCTGATAAATGTCATTGAGTGAAAGGTTCAGGAGCTGTAGATTCTTTAAGGCTGTCAGCCTTTATGGCCAGAACAAGGAAAATACATTTTATGTGTTTTTCTTCTGTGGTTACAGGGGGCTTTAACTGTTTTTGAATTACCCAATCAACATTGTTTTTAAAGACACTTTTATATAGTTATCATTTTTGTACTGTCTTTCTTGAGAAATTACAATTACTTCTGTTTGGTTGAAGTTCTAGTTTGGATCTGATACAGCAATATGAGAAAGAAAATGGTCACCTGATGCTTCCCAGCTGAGTGAGTCAGCCTGTGCAGGTTCACTGTAACTGGTGCTTCATGATAAAGTAACTGCACATTCAGATCATCCAGATTTAGATAATCTCTGTGGTTTTTCTGTGTATGGTTTTGAGCAAAGCCAGACTTGCTGACATTTCAGCGCACTCTAGGTGTTGGTCTTTGATAGACATTTTCTGCTCCAAATATACTAATCTTGAACAAACCAATGTTACCTTTCAGGCAAGAAGATACTATCTGTCTGGTTTAGTGCCTGATTTAATCCAATCAGCCAACCTTATAGTCTGCCCAAGATCTCTAGTTCCTTCTTGGTTTTAGATATACAAATACTGACAACAGAAAAAGTTGAATATTGTAGTGATGTTTGGAAAGATCATGAGCAAATGCAAAATAACAATCATCTGTTGCAAATCAGCATAGCTTCACTCATTTACAGAAGCTGATGATAAGACTCTAATGTCCTGTATCCTGACTGTATCCTGTATCCTGTGTCATTTAATTTTATAGATACTTTTGGTTTGCAAAGAGGATTCTAAGCAACAGCTTTTTTTTTTTTTGCCAACTGGGCATTTTTACACCAATTTTCTGTCTGTCAAAGTCTGGATTATGTCAGTTTTGCACTGCTGTGTGGAGTTGTCCCTTGTAATCACTGGAGCGAGAGCAGAATTAAATTAGCAAGTCAGCAATCTCAATAGGTTAACAAGAATAAATATTTTAAACTTTCTTTTCTAGATTATAGATGTTCTGAAAGGTTGTGTTGAAAATACATGCTCTTTTTTTTTTCTACCAGAGAGCAAAACATAATTTATTCTAACTAAGAAATGAAACAAAATAAAAACCAGGAAACAATGCAAAAAAAAAAAAATCAATAAACTTTCCTTCCAATAAAAAGAGTATAAAGTAAAACAGAATTTAATAATAGTTATCTTTTGTTCTGGAAGGATTCACAGCTAAAGCGTGAACACAGGATGATTCAGCTCCTCAAGCTAATGGGACGCTGAACAAATACATGCTGAAAAGGAGCCAGAGAACATTCCTTTGTTGAAGAGACCAAGTTTGAACAAACAAGCACAAGAATGTTCTTTAAAACAAAAAGTGCAAGAAGCTCTTCCAAAACATTTGGCTTTAAAAGGTTTCAGTTACATCAGCACCCAACAGATTTGCTGTAGCTACAGCTTCTGTGTTTCTATTATAAACACCCAACTTCAGAATGGAAAAAAAGGTGAAAAAATGGGACATGAGAGAGATCAGGCTCAGAGCTGGGGTTGGAAAGTGAAGAGTGTAGTAGCCTGCATGGTTGTTGAGGTGTGTGTGCGTGTTCATGTTTTAGGAATATTTAAACAACATTCAAAGTTACAACAAAAGAGTTTTGCAGTCCACAGTTCACGTTGGGTTCATGGCAGAACCAGGCATCCCTTAAAGTGATGAAGGTAATGCTCAGTTCTGACGAAATTCAGGGAACTTGAATTTTTCTGCCAGCAATGTGTTCTATGAAGCCCTCTCAGGAACTGGAGAGACTGGCCTTCATGACCCCCACTGATTTTGGTTGTAATCCTCTGCATCTCTTTTAAGTCAGATGCTCTCAAGATCCTGTGGAACCTTTGAAATTTCTGAGTAGCACCTTGAATTAAACTTGTTTTTTTCCTTTGAGACCATCAACGTCTTAAAACAAAACAAAAAAATTCCAAAAGTGCATCAGATTCTCCATATGGATTTCTGATTTAGTGATAGGAAGATCCATAAGCGTAATGTGGAACAACTTGTTGACTGACGATTTAGGATGTGCTCCCAAAATATCTGCGAACATGGTTTATATCCTTCTTGCAATGTAGGGACTTTATTCCTCATCTGTCATATTTGAGTATTTCTTCATATTTATTTATCAAAGAAGCAGCTTGCCATCTTGGGAAAATATCCCTGTCAGGATGCTATTAGCTAACTTTGAAAACCTTGGTTTTTTGAAACCCTCTACAGTTATAGATTTTCACCTCTAACCCATAGATATTTTCCTTATGGCAATTTTTCATTTTTAAGTATCACCTCCTCAGCAAAAGCAATTAAGCTCTGGATGTGAGCTGTGGGATGGCATCAGAAATTGGAACAGAATAACACTGAAAGGCTTTTAGTGGTGTCCTTTTGTCCGTGTTGTTTAGATGCAGGGGAGATCCTCTGCAAACATACTGGCTGGGGAAATGGAGAGGGCAGAGTTGTTCCCAACTTGCTGGAAGTATTGCAGCACATGTAACGATGCAACTTAATCTCCTCTCCACCTCTGTCTCTAAGAATCTCATCTGAGGCTTAACTTTTGTATTAATATATACTTTATATTATTAATAAATATTTTTTCTGCCTACTTTGCATTGCATGGGGCCATTTTTTCTCAAGTGTTGCAGACAGCCCCCTTGTTGCACTAACTTTTTATGGGCTTGATATTATGCTAGGTCCTTATATTACTCCAATTTTACACCATTAAAACTGTCCCCAAAACTACATAGAGTGAATAGGGAAAGTAGGACTGAAATTTTGAAAACTTATTTGAAATTATGTGAAATTTGGCACAACATTTTTCTGTAAGATTCACAGGTGTAACTCAGTATCTGGAACAATACTCTGGAACATAAATGACACATTTGATATTTGCGAACTATCTAATGAGTAGCTTTTAGGTTTTCAATTTTCTTCTTAGCAAGTTGGAAAGTTATAAGAAAATAAACCAATGGTAAAATATCAGCAATATTTTTTATTAAAACACTCTTTAAGAGGACAATATTGTCAGAAAAGCGGTTGCTCAAGAATTTTGAATTTTAATCACAATCTGTCTTGTAGATTTCATGAGGAGTTAATGCCAAGTTTATTCCTAATGTTCTTTACCATCATTGTCTATCCTCTTTGGGAACTTAGGAGATCCAGGTGTGCTGACCACAAAATATCTGTGTGACCATATGTGGTTTCATTGCCATGGTAACACAGAAGAGTGTGAAATGGCTGCCCTGTGTGCAGTGATCATATGAATCTGTCCTTACGTTATGATGTAGAATTATTATTCTCACCAGTCATTCCCCAGAGACAGTTTCTTCCTAAAAAGATAAGTTCAAAATCCAGCAGGAATAGATTCTCTAAATTCACTTGAAGGATGAGTATTACTGTAATAATTTCAAAATTATTTTAAGTGATTCTGTGAAACCATAGCTCTACACATAATTTTCTGCCTAGCTCTATTTTATTTTAAATTGATTTTCTCCCACTCTTAAAAATATTTGGAACATAACTGCAGTCAGAACAGAAGACCAAAAAAATGTTATAGTCTATTCTAATTTTTAAAATTAACTTAATCTTCCAGCAACAAGAAGATCAGAAGGCGAGGATGGAAGCTTGGATCAGGACAGTAAGAAGGTAATGATCGGATAGAACAAGAGGGAGTAGTTTATTGATCTTCCATGAAGCAACTGTTTTTTAAAATATTTTCATACATAAAAGTGTTCTTTCATGTAACTGAAATAATCATTACTACTTTTAGGGCCTTTCCAAGAAGACATAGAAAAGCTTGATCTCTCACCCAAAGGGTTTAGAATGTACATTCTACAATAAAGAGAAGTAGGGATATTGAGATTAAGAGCAATAAGCTCATGAATTTTCGCTCGATCTCAATATATAGATTGGTGATTCAGCTAATCCTGTGTACTTTTACTTAGGGTGCATATTAACACAGAAGAAAAATGTTAATAGCAAATTAATTATAAGAAAATGACACAGTGCATCTTCTACAGTGGGGCACAGTGGGCCGCTTCATGAACACAGAAACTATCCTCAGCCCAACTGAAAGTTTGAAGCTTTTGGTAGCTGTAGTGTCTAAGTGATTATACAGTCCTTTATAATTTGATAAAGGATGGTACAAGTTGCAATGAGCATAAACATATGAGCAGTTCACAAGACTTCTGAGCAGGTGGAGTAGGAGAAGTGCATTCAGGTGTTAATCCTGTATCTTATAACTGGCTCTTTACTCTCTCCAGCTGAAGACCAGTTGGCTTATTCTGAAAGGGGATATGGACACCAGAACTAATTCCCCGGATTCAGAAACACGGTCCCTGTCTCTTACTGCCAGAACCGACAGAGATTCCCGTGAGTGCTGCAATCCTGGCCTGCTGGCAAAGCTGAGCAGAGCTTCCTTCCTGTGGCAAAGGAAGGTGGCCCTGCTGCAGGGCCACATAGCTCTAGCTGGCTTTGTGCTTCATTTCTCTGTCATAATTACACCTATTTGTCTGTTTGTTCTGCCATGGCTTGTAAGCGCTCAGTGCCTTCAGACTTCGATAGCAAAACTATTTATAGTTTCATGTAAGTGAAAGAAGCAGCGTTGCCTGTATAAATGAACTGTGTTGTCTTTGGAGAGCAGAGGTTCCTTACCACAAAAACCCGCCCCTCCTAGAAGTACCTATTTATTATATGCTATTTATTTTCAATAGAAAGGATGGTAGTATCAGGCAGATTTTTCACTGGTGCTAAATACTTCTTGACACAAACTATATATTTTGAATACTGGTAAAGCCACTTCTTCTGTATTATGATAAGAATAAAGAATACTTTTCTCTAAGTATTAATTTAGCATATGCTCACATTTACAACCTTATAAGGTCATAGAAATCTTCCAGGTGGAAAATGGAGTAGTTTTGTAGCTAGATTCAGGTCTGGAGGCCATATGCCCATGATAGCTGTCAATACCACAAGCATGTTCTACACATTTCTTCCTCCACATTTCAGCAAGTTAGGAGCATCAGAATTGGGTCTGATTTTTACTTCCAGGTTACACGAATGACAAAAAATAGGTTAAATGAATTTTAACAAATAACTGGGCCATTCCCCTCCATGCCTCCTCCACTTAACATCACGCAGCAGTAGTAGGTCATCTGGGGTAAACAAGTTGGGGAAGCAGTTTTCCAAAAGAATGCATCCAATGCAAGGCATGTCTGGCAGCGAGGCTAGGATGTCAGTCTTGTGGGCATTTTGGTAATGTGATAGTTGGCTCCATCAACTTATATTAAGGAAATTATGGCTTAGCTATGCAAGAAAGAGGGAAAACAGATGCTACAAAGTCTGTCATAAGGCTGTAACAAGATAAAGAAGAAAATTTCTTTCAGATCATCAGTCTCACTGATCTAACTTGAAGGGATTTGATAACTTAATCCTCACCAGAGATCTCATACATGTGCACAAGGTATATTACAGGATTCCCTGTGCAGGGGAAACCAAGTCTGACCACCTCACACACCTAACATCTCTAAGTCATTGCCCATGAATGAACATCTAAATCTTTCATTGTAATACACATGCTGGGTATGTTTGGAAGCTTTCTGGAGTTGATCTGAAGCTTTTCTACACATGTATTGAGAAAATAGTCCTTGAGCACAAAAGGGGGAGGTGCGTAGCACACCAAGAACTGTGTTATACAGGTACAACGTATCATGTTGATTTTTTTCCTGGGAATATTGCTACACCCGTCACTCTTCTATACCTGCATTTCTTTTATGATTTTTAATTCTCTTGGGAATGTGGAGCTATTAAAACTAGAAGTGCAAAAGATAGTTCATACCTCTGTGTCAGGGTCAATATCACCTTTGTGCCAATGCAATATAGGTTCTGTAGTTCATTTTCCATTGCATTTTATCATCATTTCTCTGTCCCTCGTGAAAGTTGGCCCCATTACCCAGTTAGCAGCTACACAGAAATGACATTGAGGAAGTTTTCTTTTCTTGACATTTGCACTTTTTTTTCCCCTTCTTTATGATTTTATTCACTCACCTGACTATTTTAATACCCATATACATCCTAAGTAGTTCCTTCTCTATTGAGTGTTTCCCTATTTAGTTCTGAATATTTATAGCCTGTCACATGCCCTATTGGCCACGGAAGAGTAGCTTCCCTGTCTCTTGCCCTTATGGTTGAGAACTCTGACTTTCAGCCCCATCTTTGTGGCATAGTCAGTATATCAGAGAAAATAAACCTTTGGGTATAGGTTTGGTGCCAAGTGATTACATGCAGGGTAGGGGGAATTAGCAGGCACCAGACTGCGAACTGCCAGTGATGTGTCCAAATATACTGAGAAAACAGCCCTGCATTCATCTGTCTAGCCTCTGAGCAAACCAGGGAAGGGTTACTCTGCTCTGGAAGGTATTTTGCCACATTACAGGATTTATATGCCCAGAAAAACACACCTAACAAGAATGCACATCAGTGAGAGGCTTGTGCAATTGGCGGGCAAGAGTGGAGCTTGCATCTCCTTACTTCCACCTGTGTGAATGGGTATTGTTAGTGTATATGTAAATGTTTGATGGTTAATCAAGTATCATAATTCATGATTTTAAGTGTCATATATTTAGGAAAGAAGACATATAGCAAAGTGTGTAGCCCTTGCTGTTCACGTGTCCCTGATGTTCTGAGAGACAACCTCAGAATACCCAGATTGGAGTGAATGTCATACAGGAAAAAGCAGGAACCATATTCCTGCAGAGGGTAGTTGATGTTCAGAACTTACCTAATTAGACAGAAAGATTGCTTTGTCTTGGCTAGTTACTCCAAAAAATTTGCTGTCCCAGTATATCTGCAGCAGGCTGTGACGGGGGCGGGGGAGGGGGGGGAGAAGAAAAACCAAAAAAAGGCAAAATAAAAAGTGTCTAACTTGGTGACTAAGTCCGTGGGAAACAGAAGCTAGTGAGATACAATCCCCTCTGGAGTCAGAGGGTTTCACTAGTGCGTTTTGGGCCATTTCGGCTCAGTTCTCCCGTTGGGTTTTCCCAGGCGGCCACACGGTGTCGCCTGTGCCCGCGGATGCGGCTCAGCCTGGGAGGCGGCTCCTCAGCTGGGCTGTGTCTGGTTTCAAACTGGTCTTTACCTTAGTGCATTTTTCCTTGGTAACTGAGTAATATTATTTGGAGATAGTACAAAACTCTCTCGCCTACATCTCTACATCTCTTTCTACATCTTCGCTGTAGCCAAGAAATTGAACTCCACACTGATGTTCAACAGTAGCAGTTTTTTCCAGGCAGGAGCAGAGATGATAGTTTTGTTGCAGATACAATCATTCTGTCTCACAAGCATTATACTTTTTGCCTTCTGGTGTCACTGCCATTCAGATAACAGGCAATTATAAGTTTCTCATTTCATTATCTTTTTCCCACTCTTAAATATAAAAAACTCAATGGTAAGAGATATTGGACTTGCAATTTAATGTGAGTTTATTGTTCCCTCTTTAAGTACATTAAGTGCTTTGAATTTTGGTTTTATCATGACTGTCATTCACTGACATACCCTTATTCCATTAGCTTTCCATCCTTGCTCAGTACTCCACCTTTTATTCTGTGGATTAAATACTCCTTCAGTGCTGTAGCCCTTAACTAGGTTACCTTTCCCCTGTGCTGAGTACTGACATAGCACAACTCCCAATGATCCCACTTCTTCTTTCCTTGTTTCCTTTTTATTTGGATAGCTGGAGAAACTTTTGCTATTTGTTTTAATATCATTTTCAGTGTTTAACTCAGCTTGACTTCTGGCAGTCTTCACTTTATCTCAGCACATTATGAACTCCTTGCTGATCCACCTTTTGTTTTTTCTTTCTGTATGCTTATTCCTAATAATCTCCTTAGGGTATTTATTAATCCAGTGGTGTCTGGATTCCCTTCCTACATTCCTTTCTGCACACAGACTGCTAAAAATTTTGACAGAAAGAAGAGTTGTACATTCAGTTCTTTGAACTAACTGACTTCTGTAACACTTTGCATCAGTTTAACATAGTTTCCTGTACTGGAATCAAGAATGTTTAATCTACTGTTTAACTTTTAAACATTCTTATTAGGGTCTTATCATTAAAAGTAAAGGCTCTTCAGTTGTCTCAGAGTGACCACACACAGTTTCATCACTATATTACATCATTTATCCGCGGTAACGCCATTTGCCAATTTTCTCCATCTTAAAACGTTCTTTCACTTGAGTGTTTATACTGTTGCTGATTTACTTTACCTGTAACTATATCTTAATTTTTGTTATTTTCCAAGAAGTTTTACAGAAAGCAAAAGAAATTTTATGTTTGTTAAGGGTTTTTTTTAAGTGGTAGGGTATCAACCCTTCTTTTTTAAGAAACAGAACCAAAAACCAGACTACATACAGCATGATCAGAAGTGATGTACATCTAAAATGATGATAACTTTAATCCCGGTTTCAAGTCATGATTTAATACTAAGTTGGAGGACAGAGATTTCACAAGCTCTCAAATCATAAGCTTTGCATCACACAGCTGCATAAAGCTTCCATAACATGAGCCCCACAACTCTCTTTGTGTCATGCCCTGGCGTGCTGTTATTTTTAGACATTGTTACACATGTTCACGTACATGAAATATGGAGAAAAGATGAGCATAGCTCAATTATATTTCATCTCATTGATAGGATGTACTTACTGATCTTGTAATTGCTGTTTCTGGATATTTTCTTGGATTCTGTGTTATAATAGGCTGTAAAGGATTTGCAAAAAAAATATAGCTATATCTTATGTCTTTTACAGGATTTCCATATTCTAAATCTGCTTCTCTACCTGGCTATGGAAAGAATGGCTTACATCAGGTAGGTATACATTTAAATACCTTCTCCAGGAAATAATGTATCATAAAGAGACAACTTGGTAACTAGTTGAAAATCTGCACAATAATAACACTTCAAAGGTGTTTTGGCTGCCAGCCCTGTCTGACAGATTCATACCCTGTGTGGGTTAGAGTTTGTCTCTCTGTAAGAATAAGACTGACTGAGGTGTCTCCTTTTAATTGTGTGCATCATGAGCATTAAGAGTCTTGAGTCTCCTCCCAACACAAACGAAGGTCTAAAATGTACAGGCTGCACATATTAATAGATCACAGTATAGCCTGAATTAATGATAGAGATGGTTAGGCCTATAATTAGGCAAGTAATGATCTTAGAGCAAAGCTGCTCCAGCCTACATCCATTGCATTTCTTGAACCATGTTCTGCTTTTTTCCAGTGTGCACGCACATGTGTGTGTGTATGTATGTGTATATACACACACAGTCATTGTACTTTTAAGGCAGGGAGGAAACTACAGACAGAATGACAAGCAGCAATCTAGAAGGAAAAATGCCTAACCAAATTATGATCAGATCACACTAGGCTTTTTTTTTCTAACTCTTTTTTTGCAGCTTTTATTATTCTTTAGAAAAAAGACATCTTTGACACTGTGGCCTCTCTTTCTCTCTGGAGCCTAGCATTATGGGTTGTCAGTTCATGGCTTATATTTTTAGGTGAAAAATCATTATGGTTTATAGTGATAAGCTGTCAATACATAGATGCATGTGCACTTACATTTTGAAGATTGATTTGTGTCCAAATTACATGGACAGGACCTCATTCAAATTCCCTTCTTTTTCAAAAGGAAGATGTGAAACCTGCAAAAGCACATAAGCAGGATTAAACTTCCCCAGAAATGAGTCAAACTGAGAGTCACTGGTAGGAGCTACAAGAGAGCAACTATCAAGGAGTACCTAAGTGGATTTTTCAGTAGTTACTGAAAGTTCCATCCTTTTGAGTTAATATTACAGGATTAGTTATGCATGTGTTGCTTTGATACCTGGTTGCCTGAGTTTGTCTCTGAAGCAATGAGTGGCATTTGATTGAATAAGATTTAGGAATTTGAAAGGGTCTATATAAACCCATTCCCACTTATGAGTCAAGAGTTTTTTCCCGACTTTTCAGAATAAGTTTTGCCCGTAACCTGAAATGATCAAGGCACTGAAGTGCCCAGCCACTTATGCCCAGGCACTGTGCTGGTGAGGCAGCAAAGCCATCCCAAGGCTTCCCACAGATGAGGCCAAAGCAAATTCAGGAAGCCATGCAATGTGATGGGAAAGCAGCAGATGGCAGCATCTGTCCCACCTAAAGGATCCCAAACCTGTAGAAAAGTTGAAAAGGTTGCTCCTGGTCAAATCCTTGAGGCCAAAATTCCTCTTAGGATAGATGTCCCCTGTTTGGATTGTAGGTTCATACCAGCATTTGTGGTTTGTTATGTTTAATCAGCCATCCCAGTGCTGCATAACAGAACAAACCAAAAGCAAACAATAAGGAGGCCTGCAGGTTATTGTGAGCATAGCTATGCACACTGTTGATACCCCAACAGGCAAAAATGAGACTTGGGGGAAAAAAAAGTCATATAATAATGCTTTTCTGATTTCCTGTACTGTTTTTCATAATAGCATTTGCCAGCAAAGGAAAAAGATAGCACATATACACAGTTGTCCCTGGCCTTAGTGGCATCAGCAGTGTGAAGCAGAAAGCAGGAGAAAAGTTTCAGTGCAGCATAAGTGAATTGTGATGATGTCAGTAAGATGTCTGCATCACAGGGAAGGGCATGTGACAGTTTCAGTCTTACCTTGCTTGCTTGAACAACTAGTTTGAGTGAGACTTATTTGTCTTTGTCTCACTCAAGGATCTGCATTTCAATTGCGTAGTAGCAGCTGGTTTTCTTTTTTTTTCTCTCAACAACATGCAGAGTGGTTTTGTGGTGTATTTTGCTGCTAGATTTCTTCTTTCTTTCTCTGTCAGCCTGAAAACATGGGCCAATATGAAACGGACCAGGAGGCAAGCTGGGGGATGAAAGGTACATTGCAATATCATTTCCATTCTGCTTTGTGTTTTCTTCCCTTGAGAATGTTTGTTAACGTATTACTATAAAGGTTACTATTCTGAGGTCATCCTGTAGTTCTCATAATAAGGCCTAAACAGAGACACAGCTCAGTATCATATTTGTCACAGAGAATCTTCTGTTTACCAAGCCTAACATAAAGGCCTGACTGAAGTCCTGCAAGTCAGAAGGTGATGCAACCAGGCTGAGTCAATAGTAGGATCCTTGATATGTGTCAACAGACTCTCTAGTGTTGGTCCCGTGTCAAAGACAGAAGAAAATTTAGGATAATCACTCCTTCGAGACTAATGTGAAAAAAAAAAAGTCCATTGTGCTTTTTGTTTGTGCTACAGTGTGGTTAAAATGTACAGAAATAAAAAATGAGAATTTATTTGCATTGTATTTTTTTATTGCAGTTTAAGTGGACTATGAACTCAATATGGAACTTGGGTTGGAATTTTCAAAAGAGCTGAGAAATTTTAGGAACATGCATCAATTCCTGGGGAAGAGTAGGATTTTATTTCCAAGACACCTGAACTCATTTTAAAAATCTTATTCTGATGCTTCACTTTTTGCCTCTGTGTTGATACAAATCTTTGTCTCTATGTTTGAATAGTTTAAAGTACAGGTTTTGAAAAGTAGACTTATCTCTTTTATTTCAGACCATAAAAAGGTCTGTGAAAACATATTGGCTATCCTGGTTGCATTTAATAATCAGAGAATAGATGACTTTTTGGTAGTCATATATATAGTCACACAGACCTACTAGAATTCTCTTGTGCTAGTATAGATCCAGGACTCATTGTCCACACACCTCCAAATAACTTTTTCTTCACTGTCGTTATTCCCACTGCAGTCAGCCCAAGTGCAGGATGTTGGCATCTTGGAATATTGTATTATCTTAATGGTTTTCATATATGTTCCCAAACTGACATGCCTGTAATAATCCATATATTTTAACTATTTTCAGTAAAGAACAATAAGGGCAGGACTTTTGGATGACAGACTGACTTAACTCTGCTCAAAAGCCTCCTGTAAAAAGAAAATCCCAATTTTGCCAGACATACTCACCGTGTAACCCAATGGCATCAGGAGATGGATTTTCTGTAATAAACCTTTGATTTCAAGGACTATTGCTTTGGTAATAGACAGTGTTATAGGCATTCAGTGCATGGGGGTTAAATTCTTACAATGCATGCAGTTATCCAAAAACTATTGAGAGGAAAGAAATGTAGTAGCATAACAAATTTATGACGTACCTAAATGTTTATTGTGGTGACACTAAAAGAACCTTACAAATTCTAAACTGTGAACCTGTTCTCATTCTCTTGCAGAATACAAGGTAAGAAGGGCTTTTCCAACACTGGAAGAACAAACAGAATCAGCACTTCCTAGCAAGGTTACATGGGTTCCTTTCTTTTTTTTTTTTTTTTTTTGTTGTTGTTAATTTTTGTCCCAGTGAAATATTTGTCAAATCAGGATGCAAGTATGTACCATTTAAATTAGTAAGTTCCCCACACGGCCATTTCCACATATCAGAATCAGATTCAGCTGGAGTTCATATGCTCTTGTCTTTTTAACAGATTTATCCTTATGAAACACTTATTGTAACAAACCGAGTTCGTGTGAAATTGCCTAAGGATGTGGACAGGACCAGGCTGGAGGTAGGAATGATATTTGCTCAGCAGCTTTGCAAGCATTTGTCCTGTTTGTTTACTATGCTAGATATTCTGGTGCGTAAGTAATAGCAATGAAGAAGAGAAGAGAGGAATAACATTATGTATTGTATTATATTTTATTTCAAAAAAATCAGTATGCAGGCTATTTAACTAAAAAAGAATAGTCAAAAACCTAGCAAATGTCTGACCAAATGGCATTTTAGAAAGATACTGATGAAACTCATTAGTTTTGGATGATTATACAGGATATTGAAAGTTCAAGTGGGGAGTGTGGAAACTTGGAGTTTGTTTTATTTTTAATTCCTACAAAAAACATCCTTCTAGAATAACGTAAATATTACAAATAGTCTCAGTTTATCCTACAAATACATGGGCCTATGTTTCCAGTCCGTTGTCTTATTCAGGCTTTCCTTTGGCTGTGTGATCCATGGTCACTATGCTACAGTTTTGCTGTAGCATCCACCTCTCTCAAAGAGTAGTAGTATAAGATGGAGAAATGCAAATATAATTTATTATAACAGAATGCTTAGTTTCCAAGTTCATGTTCAGGCAAAATTCCTGAGGTTGATTTTTTTTTGACTGAGCAATGACAGGACTGAATAAAGACTCACCTAAACTAACATATATTTCTGTGAATTACTATTAAGAATAAGAGATGTTTTAATAAAAATTAAGTGATAACAATATTAGACTTTTAGGAATATTTGTATCTAAATAAATTTACTGTATTTTTAACTTGATAACATGACAAGAAAAGAAAAAGAAAAATTAATTTTAAAGCAAGAACATAAGAAAAACTTTGAAGGAGCAGAAAGTCCCTCATTAAAGATAAATTTTTAAAAACAAATTAATTTATCAAATTTGCATACATGTAGTAGGTTTTCACATTGGTGTTATTTTCTTAAATACTTCAGTGTGCTTGTTGCTTGATTACCCAGCAAGTAGTGTTGCTTTGGTTGTAAGGAAAAAAGAGCCTCAAATGTGTGCTATTTTAAGCCTGGGATATAGCAAGGCATAATAGCAATAACAAAAGGCATGAAAAAGCATGAAAAAGGAGCAGGGAGTTGGAGGCATGCTCATCTGGACATATCTTATAAAGTGTTCTTTTATGTATATACATACACATGTGTATGTCTGTATTAAAGAATAGAGTCTTTGTTTAAACGCATCAGACTGGTCTGAATAGCAAATGTAGCTCTAAATTGCTTTTTTACGACAACATATAGTTTGCTTTGGATGGATCATGCCTGTCCTGGCTGCTGTTATCTGTAACTCACACACCGTCCTCAGCTGGGATTGCTGTTTGTTTAACATTGGAGTTGCTCAGTCTGCCTCACACCAGGTGTAGAACAGGGCCTGTTGGCTCAAGGAGCCCGACCACTTCAAAGATCTCACAGAGATTTGCAAAAAAGAACAATAAACAAGATCTGCTTCAAACCTGCACCAGAACAGCAATGAGGGGACCAAGCCAATCCTGCTGATTGCTGCGCTATGCTAAATGTGTGTGTCTGCGGGAAGGACTCCTTTGTAGACCATCTTACATTAAATAGGGATTGGTAGTTTTTTAAACAATTAAATTAGCAGAGTTTTAATAGGATTGTAACTACTGAAAAAGCGGAGTCAGCTGCTCATCTACACATTCAAACCATATGCAGAGTTAAGTGACAAGCACAAACCATTGCCTTCCCTGCCAGCCTCTTCCCCTCTTCCCTGACCTTTTCTTCTGTGTTACAGAATTGCTAGAAATAAGTAGCTTTGGATAGAAAAACAGTTTATCATTATTTCCTCTTGTGGCAGAAGAAGAAGAAGAAAATTGTAACTTACTTATTGACTTGTGCATTCAGCAGATTTCAGGCTTGTGCAAGACCCAGGACTCAAGGAGCCCAAGACTATGTGGGTTTATAGGTTTGCACAGAAACAGACACATTGGACACAGGCACACACAATGTCTTAGTAGAGGGCCCACATAACATATCTTAGTATCTTCAAGCTTTTGAGGACAACACTGGGAATACTGGAAGCAGGTATTAAGGTTAGATTTCACCATTTCTTGAGGTCCATTTCACATTTACTACAGGGTGCGATCCGATGCTTGGAATCTCTAGGAGGCAAGTGCTCTTTCCAATCAGAATTGGTTGCCAACTTATGTTCTACTCCATCCTGCACAGCCAATGTCATGTGTGAAAGGGCTGGATTTTTCCTACAGAAATGGACATAGCAGTGCTAAGTCCATGTATTGTCCAAACTGGAGAGTGATATAGCTAGGAAAATATTCTAAGAAAAAAAACATGTTCTAATACACTAATTTTATTCTGATCAGTTTTGAGGGCTGAAGCCACACCTTGCCCTCGCTGCTGCAAATCAGAACAAGCTCCTGAGTGTGATAGCTGTGGTCAGGGTACAGGTGATGCCAGTGAAAGGAAACTTAGAACCATTGTGTTTCATATCAGCTATCAAACCTGAAAGCAGTCTTACCGTGTCCTCTATGTTTAGAATATCTCACACGTGATGTTTCTGATTTCCTGGTCTACAGAGCAATAAGGTGACTAAATTTGCATGAGCTAGATTTATTTAACAGCCGTCTCACAAGTTGACTTGAAGCAAGCTCCAGTTTGTGAAACAATTTGTTGTGAACTTTGAATGATCCAGCATAGATGTCATGGAAAAGCCAGCATTGTTTGTCTCTGATTCCCTCTTCCAAGGGAAGTCACATATATTGAGTGTTCCTATCATGAAAAGTGAGCTCAAGTAGATGGTATTAGCTCCTGGGGTCAAATTAAGGGAGGCTGCAATGAAGGCTTGGCTGATGTTCAAGGACCACAGGAGGGTGGGGGTTTAATGGATGGCAGTGTTTTCCTAACTTTGCTCCCATTGTGAGTATTTTTTAGATTACGCTGTTGTGCAAGAAATTTATTTAAAGGATTATAAAAATATTTTCTTGTAAAAATGCATATTTTTCTAAGGCCAAGAGGTATCTAGAGATTAGGAAGGCTCAACTGGTAATAAATGCACTCAAATAATAGTAATTCTTTCTTCAAAAGTACATGTATCTAAGCACAGAAACACTCAGCATGTTTTTGTTTGCCTGTTTTAACTCAGCAGTGAGACAGAAGTACCTAATTCCTTGTGTTTCTCCAGGAGATGTTTATGCCAATAGTGAACTAATACATATAGCATTGAGAACTGGTCATAGTGAGCAGCCTGCTGAGTTTTAAATACATTGCTGGCTCTTTGACTTCTGAATAAATAGCCTGGATCTTGCTTTAGTATAAGCTGATTAGAAATGCAAGGAATTTACAGTAGATAAGGATTTGGCCAAGTACGTTTTTTTCGGAGCTTCTCTCTACCCCAGTGCTGTTTATTGTAATGTTAGATGAACGGAGCAGCATTCCCCTGAGCTATTCTAACAGGAAATGGTGAAGAACAAGTTCATTCAGATAATGTTGCAGAACAACAAAGCAGTAGCACAGGGGTGGATTATACAACCTGGATGAAGAAGAGGAATTGCACCCTCATAGCATCTGCAGATGACATGAACTTGGGGGACCAGCAGTTAATGCTTAGGTGAGCAGAGTCTCTGTTCAGAGGGACCTGGCCAGGCTGGAGGAATGGTTGACAGACTTCATGAAGTTCAGTGAAGATAAATCCAGATTCCTGCGTTTGTGACTGAGTAAGTGCCATTCAGCAGAACAAGATGGGAGGAACATCAGGTACTTGCTGAAAAGTACCTGATGATGCTGATGGAAAATAAGCAGAACGTGAGTCAGCAGCTCAGCTTTGTAGTAAAGGGGTTATAGAGTAAAACATGCCCTTCTCAGATGGAGGCACTGGAGAGGCAACAGTCACAAGTTGCAGGAAGGGAAATTACAACTGAATACAAGGGGAAAGTTCCTCACTGAAAGAGTAGTGCAGTGACTAGGTTGCCCAAGAGGCTGTGGAGTCTCTATGCCTGAAGGCATGCAAAACACAGCTGGACAAGGCCTCGAGGAACATGGTCTAATTTTAAAGTTGACCCTGCTTTGAAGACCTCCATAAGTCCCTGATTTGCTTAGATTGGTATATTCTGTGAAGACATAATATAATTACAAAACATGATTTTTTGGTGAACTTGCTGCAACGGCATTTGAAAAAATACATAATTTGGTTTATCTTGGAACTTTTTATCTTTCTTTTTTTTTTTAGCACAGGGGCTTAAATGTAAGTGTCCTGGAGCAAACTTCCCCATTGTGAACAACTTAAGTCCTGAGTTTTCAGAGACTATCACCTTTGGATGGTACACATTAGCACATTCCTTACCTGGTGGTTTTCCAGTGGTGTTCCATATGACCTTTTTCCCTTTTTCCCAAAGTTGGTCTTAGGACACTTTTGAAAATCTTAATAACTCTTTTAAATAATAAAAGGTGTTCAAGTACTTTAGCCTTGGGCTCCTAAAAGCATGTACTTGATACATTTATCTCAGATTGGATATTGTTTTCCTGGTCTTCACTCATAGTAATGCGGTTCAGTGCTTACGAATTCAAATTGATGGTTCTTGCCCAACTGAATAGATTTATTTCTTTTTTTCCTCCTGAAGTTGCTTTTATCACAGAGTATAACATTGCTTTTGTGGTCACGGGCTGGTAGTTTTGAAAGCCAGTATAGTTCAAGTCTTCTGTTTGGAAACCATCTTGTAGTGTTTTCATTTGATTTTCTTGTCTTAATGTATCTTAGTTTTTTTAGCCCCTTTTTTTGTTTTTTTTGAATGTCAGGAGTTAAAAGCATTATCTCTTCATGCCTATCAAATGCAGTAGAAAGTAAATTATTCCAGTTTTTGTTTGAGCCTGTTCATTCTTTGTTTGACAAGGATACACTGAAACAACTGCAAAGTAAAAAAAAAAATACTCTGGAATGTCAAGTAGCGAAGTTTCATTTGCCACCTTCTCTTGTAAACAGAAATGAGAGATTTAAATATGGGTGCGGTCTTGTTTGAACAGAGCACTCACATT